AAATATCCACATTTGGAAAACAAAAGCTGGAATTTTAAAAACTCCAAATCAATCCCAGAAACGGCACATACATTGTAGCCCTTCCCTCTACTGTAAACTCGCTTTGGATAAAAGCATCACATACATGTAATGTAACATAAACCTTTGTGTTTGAAGAGTGTTCTCTTGCAGGAAATGTGCAGTATCAAATTCTTTATTCAAAAAGGTCTCATTTACCGTGCAAAGCAGAAAAAAACTGCTGAACTGGAATGTGTCGTGGTGTACTGCCGGGCTGTGATTGGTTAACTACACCTAGTTTATAATGAAAATGGTTCAAAGAGAAATATCCCAAAAAACTGTTATTACTGAATATTTAATCTAATAACGATCACCATTATCATCATCAGTGGGCATTTAGTGCCATCTAGTGTCCATATCTAGCATGCAATAATAAATTGCTTCTGTATTTAAACAAAAACAGGAGATGGAATAACTCAAAAGCACAAATATCACACAATTTAGTATTAAATAGGTGAAAATTATTTTGCAATATGAAGTTGTTTGGCAGTGTTTTAAACTAGAGCTACAGAATATAAAATCTATTTACTTACAGGTTTACAGTGAAAGTGGAGAAAAGGTTTTGTGTGATGAGCTGTGCCATGGATCAGTATGGATTGTTTTCATAGGTGGTGTGATCCAGCAGGGCTGCATATAGTTTGGTCCCTGAAACGTTCTGCTCAATGGACCCCCCCCCTCCCCAAACCAAAGCTACCATTATCCATGATCACACTCATGTCTACCCCCCCCCCCCTCAGTGTCTGAACCCCTGAAAATCTTTCCCTTTCTCCCCTAATATGGGGAGCCCTGGGTCAAAGAGCTGCAGATATCATGGTCAGATTGGTTCCCTGCAAACTGCCATTGATTATATGGCTGGAGATGTAGTACATAAATATGTGGCATTGAAATAAGTTTGCTTGACACTCAAGGTACTTTGCTTCACCTGTTTAAATGGACTTGATCTTCATTCACTTTCACTTAGCCCCTCTACCTTAAACTCGAGAAGTTATCAGAACTCTGGCTGCGTGATACAGACGCCAAATCTGTCAGATGGTCCGGAGGCCACAATCACTCAGCGGTTTTAGCCAATGGGTGGGCTGCACCTCCGCTGTTGGGGGAACACAGGGCACCTGAACCTGATCTGAATGAGGAAAGCACGTCTTAGAATCCCAATTTGTACTTACATATCCTCACTTTATTTTATCATGCTGTCTGTATACCATATTCTATTACAATAAAACTACAGGAAATGAAGTCTAACCCACCCCCAGCGTCTATGTGCTTGTTAAGTTACATGTCAACCTAGGATCAAATATTTTCCAACATAATGAGACAACATATCTGCAATGTATACTCACCAGAAGGGGTGGAGGTCTTATCCTGGGGGGCTGGAGACGGCTTTAGTTTCTTCCAGTGAAGACAAATTAAGCCATATCATGATTATTTGACTGATAGCTGCTACTTGTTTAACTCAGTAACTATGTGTTTGCTGCTGAGTAACTGTCAGGCTTAGCTATTGTGTTACTCTATTGTATCTCATAATTACCAGGTATCCTGCCCTGATTGCCCACCATATTTTGCACCTGTGTTTTCCCCTTTTATATGTAAGGTCTTTGGCCCTGGTTGGTGAGCCGAGTGTTTGTCACATTGTAGTGGTAATTGCCAGTTAAGTTGACATCTCTATCTTCCTCATGTGTTACTCAATAAACCCCTTAGACTCGCACCTACATCCTGCTCTGCTTTCACCTGGGCCTTGTGACAGTAATCATAGATAATGCAAAACTGTAATAGAATATGTAGTGCTGACTTCAGAAGTCTAGTTATGTCAGAGATGCTAATTAAGCCTGATACGTCCTACTTGACATACAGTATGTGCTATCTAGGAGTCAATTAGGCATAAATGCAGCTAGGCTGAGCTTCCAATGAATGCCCATGTACAAATGTAAGTAGTATTGGAGTAGGAGAATCGCTGCGACTTCTAATAAAGCAAGAACCTAATAAAACTATTCATGCAACCATAGGAATATTCAGGGAGCAACGGACGACAGTCTGTGAAGCCCGAGGACTGAGTCTCTGATTGTAGGATACATCAGCAATGACGATTAGTCAGAGTACAGAGGACTAGTGAAAGGACGTTGTCTTTTGCAATACCGTCACAGACTTCATGGAAGACAGAGACAAAGAAGACATTCAATGGAAACCTTCATGGGTAGGGAAATCGTGCTGGACTGCACAACATCGGTTTGTAGATACCAGCATCATCTTGTGTGGAGAGTAATGGGGGTTCAGACTGTTTGACTAGAATTTGGCTCCAGGTAAGTCAACAGACGTCATACTCAGTGACTGTATGTTAAGTTTTGCCTTTTATATAACAAAGTTTTGTTAATACTCAATATTCTAGTTGTGACATGTCACAATCTGTAGCGTACCAGCCAGAGTATATGTCACCTTCACCATTGCTCAATGTAAGATACCTCCTGTATTACATCTTTCAATTTTCATAATGCGGGAGATTCCCAGCATCGCCCCTATCTCAGTCAAAACACAAAAACACACGCCCCTGCTTTCTCTGCATTTCCTGGTCAACATTTTTTATTCTGCAGAAAACAAAAGATTGATCTGTGATCCAGATGTAATAATGAATTAAAACTTTTCACCAGCCAGTACTTTGAGACCAGCTCTAATTGGTGAATGAGCCGATGAATCCCTTGTTCTACACAAGGGGAAATGGCTCATCGTCCAATTCAAGCATTTCCATTATTTTAGCAATGTCTTCAGCTCTAATGTGGCTTAAATTAAATATTGATATGGTTTAACAATTAGCCAGCAATAATTGGCTAAGGTCGACACATTGGACCGCGGCCAATACCTCTATCTTTAATGAATCATGGCAGATAGCGATATGTTAACTGACACTTTGTGCATCTTTAGTGGGCAGGTATGTATTTGTTTAAGGTTGACAGATATCTGATTAGGTTGGACAGTCCAGTTTTTCAGCTTGAAAATCTGGCCTAATGCTCATTTGTCCTCTTTTTCACCTTCGATATCATTTGTAAGGCATAATGTGCAACTACTTACCAAATAAATAATGTCATATACCACAATAAATGTTAATGATTTTATTACTAATTACAAAGTCCAGTTACCATTAATGAACACTCAGAGATCATAAAGCACTTCATTAAGACTGCACTCCGCTCTCTTCAATGCAAGAACTTCAGGTTCACATTCATCAGGAACCTCAAAGAATTGCATTTCCATTAGTGAAGGCTTGCACAGAGATGCAAAAACTTCCTAGCAAATACCAGAAGTTTTCCAAGACCTTCAAGATATCTGTGACTCGTCCAGAATCATGGCCAAATATCGCAATGTTCTTAATAATCAGAAACTCCAGCATCCCATAATCCACCTCTTCCCAGATATCAAGAAGGACCTTATGATGGTAATAGTCATTCTACGTTCTATATAAAATAAATCCTTGATCACATTTTTGTCACCAGTGCTACTTTTTATTTTGGGGTGGTTAGTAGTTTTCCATCATGTAACTCCTTATGCTTTTTCAAGCGACATTTGTGAAATTGATGCTTTGGTGAATTTCATCATCTTTACTGTACTTGTGAACCAGTTCTTAATGTACGATTTTACTTGTAGCATATATATATAGAGATATTTGAGTCTGCACTTTTGCATTTTAGTTTTTCATGGGCATGGTGGCTCTTGCAGTTATGATACAAACACCTGTTTAAATCTACCTACCAATGAGTGGGATCCAGTGGTGTTTCCATTTAACTGCATTTAAGTTCTAAACTCAGTTTATTTGAAACCATTTCAGGACAAGCCAACCGTATAAACATGTCTCGCTGATTTTTTTGCTGGTATGGCTTTTTTTCTTCCCATTTTAATTTCATGACCATCCAATTTTTTTGTTAATGATGGGATAAAACAGGACCAATGTGTCAAAGGTGACAACAAACCTACAGAACACAGCATTTCCATTTTTGGCATTCCAGGCATTTGGACCAGATACAGTCCAAAAAAACCAGCCTCTGGTTCTCTTCTTTTTTCTTCCTCTCCTTTTAAGAAACAGTTCGTTATTACTACATTCTATATTTGTCTTGCTTCTGAGTAACATATTTGATAAATCAAGCCTAAATGGGGTGAAACTCTTTATCTCTGTCTCAGCATTCAGTGACTCATTTCCGTACACTAATTTATTTTTGGTAAAACAAAAACATGACATCAGTGCTGTTGAAGGGGCAGTGGACAAAGAGCTTACCAAGAGGAAAAGAGATTTAAGTTCCCATGGTTGAAACGTGTTTTGTCAAGAGTGAAGGAGAGGCAGTGCCCAGGTTTTCCTTAAAGCTCCTGCTTTAGCAGTAGTTTTTTCTTTCCTTCCTGAACTCTCAGTAGTTTACCCTCTTCTAGCTAAGATGAGGATGGATGGGTGTCAGGTGACTGCATGGACTGCAGAGGCAGCAAACACTCTCACGAGCAGCCAGAGGCCCAGCCTTGTCATTGTCGACTTGGGGGTACACAGTGTGATTTCAAAATACAGCAGCATCTCCGCTTCCCTGTCTAAAACAGAATGCGTTCTTCTTCCCTCCTAGTCACTGACATCAGGCACCTCATCTATTGAGAGTAATGTGGACGAGCACCGGTCCCCTTTGCTGGTGACAGAAAACACCACAGCTAACGAGGGACCTTTCAGCTTCATGAAAAGGTAACCAATATAAGTGTGATCACAGTGGCAAATCTGTAATTAACTCTATTTAGATGTTGGATCCACTCTCGGTTAATAAGCTCCCCCATGGGTTCGACGTCTAAAAGTTATTAAGATTTCACCAGTAAATTAGTCGTTCAGTTGTACAACAAATGGAGTTGCAGGATTAGGGGTTTGTACCAAAGGATTTAGCTGGATGTGTCGGGTGATAGTTCCACTGCTGTTCCCCAGCTCACCTGTAGGTGGCACTCTAGTAGATTCCGGCTTGGCGGCTATGCGCAGACTCGCACAAACGTGGATACTATACCCTCAGACCTTTGACATTTCGAACGTTTGTTTCTTTGCGACACCATGGTATAGCCGTACCGGTTGACGTTTGCGTGACCCAGGGTACAGACTTGTGCTCCGGTTTAGTTCATTATTCGTCGTCCATTAAGCGAAATGCCTAAATACTGTACGGCTCCCAACTGCAGGAACGACGCTGGTAGCACCGGCTCAGACAGGAAGAGCTTCTACAAGTAAGCTGGGTAGATAACAGTGAATGTTTTTGCAAAACAACTTGTCTTTGTCCGCCATGCCGGGTGGTGCGTTTCGATTTCATACTAAGTTTGATAAGTTATATATGCAGCCTTTTATTCGCTGATGTTTCCCATGTGGCTTAATATGGAGCTTTACGTGCAGCTGAATGAGCAGCAATATGCGGAAGCCCATCCAAGGTGACATCTGCTAAGCTGCCTGAAACTCGGTCGTGTTTTTGGCTTAATGACAATGTAAATGCCTCTTCTTCATTCATATGACCATTATAGTTATGGATGCATGTGCACGCTTATTCACGTTCCACATATATTTGGCTCTAGGCGCTGTAATGGTTGTCGCAGAAGGAAAGTACAGTACCATGGCACGCGTTGTACAACAATAACAATGTGAATAGGTTGGACTTTGCTTATACGGTTGCCAACTTTGTCGGTATAAAGAAGTCAACAAGTATATTCAGTTTTCTGAATGCTCAGATATACAGTGTGTTCAGAAAGTGTTCACACCCCTTCGCGTTCTTCACATCTTATGTTGTAGCCTTATACTAAAATCGTCTAAATTCATTTTATCCACTCAACAACCTACATTTAATACTCTCTAATGACAAAGCAAAAACAGAATTTTACTTTTTTTTTTTCAAAAAATAAGGAATTGATACATCACATTGAAATAGAAATTGAGACCATATGCTATAACACGTGAAATTTGGCTCAACTGCATCCTATTTCTATTGATCAACTTTGAAATGTTTGTACCCCCTTTTGGGGTTAACATATGGTTAATTCAGTTGATTGTACCGGATAGGGAAAGGTGCACAACTGTCTGGACAATGGTCCCATAGTTTACGATGTATTCACCTTAGCATAGGGCTGCATCATAAAATATGAAAAAAAACTGAAGGGGTCTGAAATCACAAGATACATCTAACAGATTTTTTATGTAGGAGTTTCTCAGTGAAATGTGTGTTATTTTAATGAAATTAATATTATTTTCTGGTGCTAACTGAGGAAAGAGCTACCAAGTTGTTGCTTGTGTTTTTTGCATGTGTGAATGTGTTAGGTTTGGTATATGTACAGCACATCACTTAAAAAATACAAAGAAACAGTATATTATCTTCAGTCCTGTAGGTGGTGATCAATTTATGTGCTTATAAGTTATTGCTATATTTCACATTTTACATACACATGCCAGACGCTACAGTACTGGAAGCTGTGTTGGCCCTCACCATATTCACTGCGGATGGGACTGATGCTGTACATCTCGCCTGCACTACACAGAGTAGCAGTTCTGGGTCCAGGGTCTGTGTGTGTAAGGCCAACTTGAGATTTGAGATCTTGTTGGGTGTGCTGCATTCCACACAATGTGTTGAGTATCCACCCAACCTTGTATGGGTTTATGATGCCTGTGTGATTGTTCTGTCCTTAAGATTTTGTGTAATGAAGGTGTTGGTGGTTTCCAGGTTTCCACTGCATGACCAAGCCAGGCTGCAGCAGTGGCTGAAAAACATGGGCCGGGAGGGTTGGACGCCTTCACGGCACCAGCACATCTGCCACGAGCACTTCACACCCTCCTGCTTCACCATGCGATGGGGGATCCGCTACCTCGCCAGCGACGCCGTGCCGACCATCTTCCAGCTCTCTGAAAATGCAGAGGTATTAGGAGTTCTCTGCATGTCATTGCTGTAACCCCTGAAAAACAGCCCTCTCACTAGTGCCTACCGTGGTGTATAACTGCTTCTTTACTTCACTTTGTCTTGAGAAAACAGATCCTTCACTAGGTGCAGTTTCGGTGAACATGCAGGCAAAGCATGGAGTTAGGAGGACATGAGCTTTTCAGTCTCTCTTTCCTCAACAGAAACGTAGAAGCACCAGTAACGCTGACAGGAAAGCAAAGAGAATACGGCCTTCCAGCAAGAAAGCTGTGTTGACTGTGCCATTGGAGAAGACATCCAACTGCGATAGTGTGCACCAAGATGGCAATGTTGGCTCCGTGCAGCTGTACACCATTACGGTGGAGCCTTCTCTGCTGCTGGAATCAAGCACCATGGAACAGTCCATGGGATCTGCCCCCACTGCCTTAGCCCTACCAGCAGTTGACGGACAGGATAGCCTGGGAGATGATTTTCCAATGACGCTGTTTCAAGCTGTGGAGGATTTCAGCATGTCTGGCGGAGGGGAGTGTGCCGAAGTCATGGTACTGTCCAAGGGTGCATCGACGGACAGTGAAGATGCAGTGGAGGGCATAGCAACTGCTCTCTTGGCAGAAGGCCAGGAGGTGGTCATACATGATGCTGTTGGCCAGGGAGCAGTGGGCCCCTCCTCACTGGTTATTGAGAACATGGCCCTGGAGACAGTGGAGCCCCCTGCAGGCCAGGATGACCGCGGTATCCAGATCATTGCTTACTTCGAGACTATTCCCAGCGTCCTTCCAGCCGGCCCCACTCATTCTGGCCTAACACCCGACACAGTGCTGTCCTCTGCCCTCAGCCCTCAGCCCATAGTCTCCACTCTTCCCATTGTGTCCAAACACATGACCCCCTTGCCAGGCTCCCTGGTTCTCGCTTCAGAGAGGCCTGAGAGTTCAGAGACGGAGGTGGAGGGGCAAAGGGAGGAAAAGGAAGAGGATGGTGTAGAGCACCAGGGGAAACAACTGGATGAGCACCGGTAAGCATTGAAAACCTGGCCTTGCCCACTCTGCTCATACAGTTACTGGGTAACACTTCGCCATTAAGTGAATGGTCAGCGCCCGGCTCTTTGTCTCCTGGTCAGCTACCACAAGAACAGCCTGAGTAAGGAGCAGCTGGAAGTCATTGTGACAGAGCTGCAGAAGAAGGTGAAGGTGCTGCAGCAGAGGCACCGGAGGCACCTGGACAAGCTGCTGGGCCTGGAGAGCACAGTGAGCCAGCTGAGGCACAGCAAGCTGCTGAGTGAGGAGCGACTGAGCCTTCTGGAGAGGGTGAGCATGGGCCCAGCCTTCGCTCAGAACATCCTGCCCCGTGCATTCAGATGGATATGAGTGTGATGAAAGACGTTAAATCCATTCATATAATTTATACCTGATTGAATGGACCTATTTGTGGTCTTGAAGTGAATTCAGTAGTTTACAGATTCTCTTTAAGTTTATGTGTTTCTCAGCAATAAAGCAGCGATCTTGCTACCTATAACCATTCTGTCACAGGTCTCTGACCTTATTCCTTTGGTTTCTTTACCTGTCTCCATGCAGGCCTACGTTCAGACGAGTGCTGTTGTGTCAGATGCTGGGGAAACAGTGGCCATCATTTGTGAAGATGAGAAGATGGCGTACCTCTACTCTCTGCCGGAGTATGGCATCGGGGAGGGACTTGAACAGGACATGGAGGGTCCCGCTGCACTATCGGAGAGCTGACATCCATTCTGAGCTGTCCTTACCAAAAAGGGAGGGGGATATGTGGAAGCACTTAGTTTCTGTCTTCTGTGTGGTAGAGAGGACCAAGTGTTCTTCCTAAAACACTAAACAGACCTGCACTGTGGCACTGGTGCAATGAGATTGGAATTGTCCCCTTGGGGAATCATACTCTCCCCAGGGTTACACTGGTTTCTTGTTATTTGTGAATTTTCCTGGACTGGTGAACCCCCTCTGTGATTTATATATCTTTGCGACTGGAGCAGCTTGAAGTTCATCCTTTTCTCCTTTCCTGAACTGACTTAATTTTTCTGCGAAACACCCGCCACTGCTTAAATCCTGAGGTGGTGACCAGTGTTTAATGGGGATGAAGTTAATTTAGTGAATCGTGCAGGGAAAGAGGCGTGTGATTCTTGATTTATATACACTGCAGAATGCCTTTTGGAAATATGGAGCTGGAGCAGTAAAGTGTATTTGTACTTTGCCAAACCCTTGCTTGTCTTCTTTCACATCACAGGATAAACATGGTCCCACTGATGCTGTTAGCGCTTGTATTCTGTTTGTCCTCAGATCAGTCCTTGTCCTTATTTTAGTCTGCATTTTTGTTTGTTTTAAATTTCGACTATTAACTCAGGTGATAATTCTGCACTTATCCTTGTTTTATGAGCAATACTGAAACCAGCTACAGTTTAATTATATACAATAACATATACAGTTTAACAATATACAATATATGAACTGTATGAGATTCCATACCTGGTGTCTTTTTATGTACAGCACTTAAGTTTTCTAGGAAATCTCTCATAAGGAGTGAAAGTTTGCCATCAGTGGATAATAAATTACCAGAAAAAAATTTCCTAGTTCATTCATTATCAGTATTTTCGTCCCATCAACAAATAAGCTATTGGCAGTATTTTTGCGATTGCTCTTAATCGCATTGGACAAACCAAAGCAAACGCGGTTTACACATTACACGATGATTAAAAGACCCTCAAGCCGGAACTGAAAGGGATTCTTTATTTTGACCGGCGTGCCACTCAAGAACGAAGAGCCAATCCTGTCGTTCTATGAAGGCGGGGCTTCGCCTGCTTTGTCTGTTTTAGAGGTCCACGCGAATCAGCTCGTGGCTTGAGTTTTGAAAAGTGTTTCGCCGTTTCCAATGGCTACGACGAGGACCTGCACATGCGCATGCGCGTGTAGTTCATAAATCGCGCTTGCTATACTGCACTCCGCGTACGTTACTTAAGTGAGTGATTTGCTCTCTCATGCGAGACTCGAATTGCTTTATAACAGCAACAATACTAATAATAAACATATGCAAAACATGTACAAATATATTAAATAAAAACGAATGACCTTAAGTAACTTTGGTGCGAGTTCCTGGTTGCCGGGCGTAGTTAAACGAAGTTAGCTACATATATAGTTATCAGCTGGCTTTTTCGTTAGACTGGTAAGCTAACAGGATAGCGTTAGCTACGAAGACGAACCGTGGATGTGAACTTTATTTTTTATTGTTTTTTTTTTTTTTGAAGTTTTTATTTCTTGGTTGACATCACAATCGCCATGGCGGAGGCACCCTTTTTCGGGGGAGGTTTAAATGCAGTTTCCTTCAGTTCTCGGGTGAAAAAAGTGACGAGCCTTCGGAAAAAAGGGCGACAGAATCAGCCGAGACGGAACATCCACAACCGGGTGAGCTCAAGCTGATCGGGCGTGGGTCTGACTGCATGTCTTTGTCTTTTAGTTGTAGTGTGTCCGAGGTTAAATTTAGAATTGCAAATAGGTTTCCCTTTAGGAGATGTTCTCGGGCACACTTTCAAAAGTCCTGCCATTGCCGGGGTTAGGGTGCCCGGCATTTGGCTGTGTTTCATGGCAGAATGGGGCCCTCCCACGCCCGTCCACTTGCACAAAATTGTGAGCATAAAACTCACGAGAAGTCCCAGAAGGACTGTTTCGGCAACAGCGAACGGCCCCGGATTACTGACACTCACTTGCTCTAAATGAGACTGGTGCAGGCGGCTGGAGAAGTCATTTAAGTGAACGCCTATTCTGATCTGCCTGGATTGATAATCACGTTTGATGAATATAACTGTTAACTAGCACCAGTGTTTTGCCTTATCCTGTCTAGGTGTTTCTGGAGAAGGTCCTGGGCATCACCACATCTAGCAGTAGTGGCTTGGCCTGTGACCCAAACAGTGGATTGGTGGCTTATCCAGCTGGGTAAAATATTTATGCTTAAAAAATCTTTGATTTATCATGGATATGCATTGGGACGTTTCACTGGATTAATGAAAGCAAATGAAGTGAGTGTGCGTGCATGTTTACAAGATGAGGTAAAGCAGTGACTCACGTTTATAATTTTTGCATAATGTTGCTGGTTTCAGTATTTGGACAGGTTGTCACATGCAGAGATTTTTTTTTTCTTTCTTTTATTCATATCCTCCCAGGTGTGTTGTGGTCATCCTGCACCCGAGGAAAAACAAACAGAGCCACATATTGAACACTTCCAGGTTAGATAGCTCGCTTGCACTTGCACTCACATGTCTGGGGGACCTTTACAATTGTGCCTTTAGTATTGTCCTCACTGTCTGGTTATACTGTAAAACATTTGCTTTTTGTTTGTAATTAAAAAGAAATCTATCAATTATGTGATTATGCATGCAGAAGACCTTATTGAGCTTGGTCTTTGAAAATATATCTGCATTTTATTGTTGACAAAGCATTAGGCAGGCACTTTATATAATTTTACAGAATTGCTGGTAGCGGGATGAGTGTGCCCCTCTCTTCTCTATGAGAGCAGCACTCTTATTAAGCCTGTCCTGTGTTTGTGTTTCCCAGAAAAACCTTCACTGCTTTGGCATTCTCTCAGGATGGAAAATACTTGGTCACTGGTGAGGTAAGCACTAGAAAACGCAAAAGCGAAATATGGCTCACTGTGCTGCCATGGCTTGTAGTGCAACACAATTGAGCTGTTTGGTGAAGCGCCTTGATCTGCATGTGTGGAAAGTGGTCATGCTGCATAGTTTGGTTGCTGTGTTTTCCCTGAGAAATTGATACAAGTGCACCTCTATATAACCAGAGCCGCGGATGAATCGTGCTGCATCTTCCTGTTCAGAAGCAATTCTTTGCTCTGTGGTTTCAGCTGTAGTCAGTATGGTAAAGCTGCAGACTTGTCCCTCACACACAAGGCTTTAACTTCCTTAATGTTTGTGGTTTTGCTTTAGTCTACTTGAAGCACTCACCTGCATAATATTTACACGTTAGTATGTATTCTTTCGTTCCAAAATCAAAATGTCAGGGCTAAAACGCCCAAAATGTTTCTCTCTTTGCTTGTTCAGAGCGGTCACATGCCATGTGTACGAGTATGGGATGTGGCTGACAGAACCCAGGTAGCTGAAGAACAGTGCCATAAGTATGGGGTTGCCTGTGTGGCCTTCTCGACCAGTGGGAGCTACATTGTATCGGTGGGATACCAGCATGACATGACGGTCAGCGTGTGGGAGTGGAAGGTGAGCTATGGCATGTCTCTCACTGGTTTATTGTCATGTTATGCAAGTGTAAGATAAGATAAGAACTTTATTTATCCTGAGGGAAATTCTTAGTACTAATAGTACTGTAATGTGTGATGATATGATGATTTATCATGACCGGTTGCAGTTGTACAAGGGAGGCTAATAGAACAGCACAAATGTTTGTGCTGTTGCAGGGCTTGTCCTTTGAAAAATGCAGGCGCACACAAATTTGTGCACCTAAAAAGTGCTAGGTGCACAATTTTTTTTTGTGCACCCTAAAAGTGCTAGGTGCACAATTTTACCTTTTTTTGTGCGCCTAAAATGTGGTTGGACTTTGGTGCAATGGGTCAAAATGTACTTGTATTTGTACATATTTCTGTTTTTTTGTAGTCCTGGTGTTAGTTGAGAATTTTGTCCTAGTTTTAATGCTTTAACATATTTTGTAGAAACCAATTTAAAGTGAATCACTTTTTATTGGTGAATAAAATTTGCAATTCAGAATTCAGTCTTTTTTGCATCAATACTTTGGAGATTGTCCTCAATTTGCATAACACTTGCTGCAGAAGGCTCAGAGGGGAAGAGCACCATAATATTAAGATTATATGGGCCAAAACTTAGAGATGGCATCCAATAATTTGTATGAGCCAAATTCTGTTTCTCCACTGAAATTGCATTTGTTAGCCAGTGTCTTCTCTGAAAACTTCATTCTTGGATGAAGAACACATCAGCAGTCGATCCCAGCAGCAGCCAATCCTTAACATGTATACAGCAAATACTAACTAGTTATGAAGATGCCATCTCTTACAGTAAGTGCTGAGTAGTTTTGAGTAGGTTGCCTTCCAGGATAGAATCTGCAACTAGACCACAGGGGTGAGTAATGACAGTAGCCAAGGATATTGCTGTTGGACTAGGACTAGGAGTGGGGATAGCTCAATATTAAGAGTTGGACAATAGGATTGGGTCGACAGACGATGCCATCGTCCATCGCCGATGGCCGATAGACATCACGATGCTGAGCTGACATCGCGATCCTCCGCCCCACCCCCGCCGCAGCAGCAACCAGCTCACGAAAAACACACTTAATCACACTATATAGCCAAATTAAATGCATGCTTTCAATTTCAGCATCTTTACTTATTTTATTATTATTATTATTATGAGGAAATAATAACAAGGAAGTTGTTAGCGATCACAATACAAATTACAGTGAACGCCAAACGAATTACACGAACTAGTTCATTTACATTAAATGAGGCATATAGAAACAGCAGAAAAAAAATCTAAATAATTTTAATTAAATTAGATTAAATAAACTACACCAAATATGCCTTTTTCATGGTTTTACCATAACGAACAGAACGTCTGCGCATCTTTTGCGCGGATAACTTGACCGCAAATCCTACACACCACTTCAGACGTATCTCGTGGCTGTCCTGTTTCATTCGGTCTAAAGCTAAAGTATTGCCAGAAAGGTGAATTTGCACCTTTTTTGCCAACCAAGTTTGTTGACGCCATTATAACGACACAGATCACTGTGCCTATTCCTGCCAGAGTCCCGCGGAAAAAGTGATTGACAGGTGGTAATTTGTGTGTAACATCTTTATTTATTTATGGTTTGGTTATGGGTAAAACAAAGACCATGCGGGTCAGGTAGTGGAAACGGTAGGCTACAATTAATTAATTCGTTATGAATTAATTATTTAACACCAACCATCGCTCCCCTCCCCAAAAACATTGCATTCTGACACGGATGACCCTTGCTATCCATGCTTTTTTTCAATGCCATTGTTGTCATGAATAATTCCGTGGAGCGTCGATTGGTCACGTGACAAATTATGAGGCGCGTACAATTTAATTCTTTTTTATTGATAGGCGCGCATTTCTTTGCGCAGCTCTTCACCATTTTAGGCGCGTGATGGCGTGCACGCGCAATTGCGCACCTTAAAGGACAAGCCCTGCTGTTGAAGAGTTGGCTTGGTGCAAGTGCTGCTAAACTGAGCCTCCAGTGAGTGCCCAGTTACTAGTGTGCTACTTAATACTATCCTTATGATGACAAAACATGCAACAGTATCACAACATAAACAGGCCTATGAGAAACAATGTAGTGTGCTGCCTGTATATCTCACTTCTTTGTCAGCTATCTCAGTGGATCTGAACTACGTCTTGAACTAAAAAATGTATAGAACTTTGCTAATCGGTTAGCTAAATGCCATTTCACACAGAGTCCCATTTTTGTGCATGATAAAACCAAATGACATTAATCTTGCTACCAAATCCAACAAGTATGCATCATCTGAATCATGCTTTTAATTTGGTTAGAGCTCAATATCAGTTTTCAGATGCATTAAAAAACTAACAGTAGTATGGCAGGTTTTACACGTGATCAGTTTTTTTTTTTTTTAATAGGAAAAAAATATTTAATTTAACAGTAGCGTGTAGTGATGGGTTATACCATTGATGTCAGTCGTATTCTGCTCTTTGATAAAATACATAAATACATATAAAAAACTTTATAGCATGCGCTGTCTCAGGAAAACCAAGAACATCCTGAAAGACCCCAGCCACCCTGCATTGGCACTTTTTACTTTCCTGCCATCAGGCAAGAGACTCAGGACAATTCTCACACGCACGACTCGATTCAGGAACAGTTTCTACCCCAGTGCCATCAGGCTATTCAACAATCAGTAATTGTGGTAAAATCCCTTACTGTGCAACTTCCTCCACACTATGCACTGTCACTGTATATTATGCACACTCAAACTATGCAACTTAGACTGTTTATTATTATTATTGCTGCTACACCACTTTGTCTTTGTCTTCTATGTCTTGTGTGTATCTTGTCTTATGTTCTGTCTGTGTGGGGGGGGGGGGTTTCAAGTAAGAATTTCATTGTGCTCTGTACGCTGTACTTGGTACACATGACAATAAACTTCAAACTTCAAAACTACATATTTTAATTTAATTTTAATTTTTTTTTTAATATTATACTCAGTTCTCAAAATGAAAACATTCAGATCAAAAATACACAACAGCCTACTTTACTCACACGTAGATATATGTAAATAATTTGGACTCCGTTTACTTACCGCCAATTTTGCATGCATAGATATTTTGATTATATTTAATGTCTGTAATGCATGATGTCTTGTCTCTGTCTTGACTGTCAAACTTGTCCCCTTTTCCATAGTCTGGCGCTAGGCAACCATGCATTTCACTGCACATTATACTCAGCGTAATTGTGTACAGTATGTGACAAATAAAGCTTAAACTTCAGTACTGATTTCTACATCCCTGCAAGCATGTCTTTCTTATATATAAAAAGAAGTATGTTAAGCTGTTGGAGCTTTTCTGGTCGCTTATTTTTGTTGGGTTTCCCTTAATTTTTAAAGGCTTTGTAATATACCTCTTAGATTGTATTAACTGGCTATTTATTAATATTTTAATTTTTGCATGATTTGTAGACCTATCTGTATACAATCAATATCCAATAAAAATATAAAAACAGTAAGCCCCGTTTTCTCCATTCCTGTAGTTAACTGATAGTCGATGTTGCTGCTATGTTGTCCATATTAACTTTGCTTATCCTGAAGTACCGTCTGAAATGATTAAGATAAATTTGAGATCTTGATACTTTTAGAATTGGATGTATCCATTGTGTTCATTTTCTTTTCACTTGTTTGTTCAAAAGAAACAAGAAACTCATTGTCACTGTTGCTAGTACTTACCGCCATTTGGCCGGTTCTTTTCAGTATGCAAACTTTTCTTAATCAGTTATGAAAATGTCACATCGTATTTGGTGTGAAAGTTTTTGATTAGTCAAATTCGCCTCTGAATATTTCACAAATTTGTGTAGTTTTTTTTGTGTTGTGTTCAGTGTGAAGCGGCTTTAACTTTTTTTTATTTTTATTTTTTGGAACTTTGTGTACCATTGGACTGTTTAAAAAATTGCATTTGTCATGTGGTAAACAACTCATTGTCAGTAGATGGGTTGTCTGTGATGTCCAATAAACGGTGTGCAGCATGGCAGATGAGGAACAATTGGTTCAAAAAAAGGTTCTACATTGATTGTGGGGAAATGGTTTGGATTTCTAAAATCTGATGTGGACTAATCTGTCATTTGCAAACTTTACATGCATACCATTCTAATAAGAGGTGGAAATGCATCCAGAGTAATTTATCTATTATCTTTTGTTTGTATTGTAAACTGAGTTCAGAAGTACATGGTAATTGTCCAACGTGATACATGTTCCTTTGTACTTGTATCCTTTGAAACTTTAGTGTTATCTTAAAAAGCACTTTTGCTATAATGAGTTGGGTTCTTTCACATGTACTGTATCTTGGATCGTGATTCTAAAAAAAATTATTGTGATATGACATTTTGGCTATATCTCCCACTTCATCTCTGCTGCCTGTTAACATCAGAGGACACAGGTAGTGAAAGTGATCGGGCGGGGGGATGTATCAACACACAAGGTATAGGATGAGACACTACTGTTTATTTCGATATACTTTTCTCGTGTGCTAAAATCAAGACTGACAAATTTAACGACTTAGCGTTAATTTTAAAGTTATAATGCATTATTTCTATGCATTAGTGCATATGGTATTTTGGGGGATAGGTATGAGCAAAGATCTTTAGTGGAGACCTATAGTATCCCTTCATGGTTATAAACGGTGCAGAAGCTTTAGTCGTGATATTGCACAGAATCTTAGATTTCAGAAAATCAAAACATTGACTTGGTAGAGGGGAAAAATGAGCGAACATTGTTACTTGGTTCATTTCATTTTATTGACGGATGGCTCAGAGGGTAGAAATATTGTAATTTTGATTTTTTTTTTTTCTTTTTAAGGCTAATGCCTAAGAATTCTGCTTTTATCAGTTAGTATTGCATTCAGTTGTCAGGCTTTTGTGTTTAGAGCTATTTTCCAGATTTATATTTGGTTGTGTTTTTTTTCCCCCCTAACATTCACGTTCTGTTTTGAGAGCGATGTCATAACCGGAGGGGGAAAAGCATGTTGTGGACAGTGGAATGAAATGCTTTTATGTCATGGCTACGTTAAATGACCCACACTGATACAGGCATCATTTATTTTTGTCTTGATTTTGAGACTTCTGGTTGGAAAAAATACATTTCCTTAATGAATTGTTGTAGTTGTATATTTATTTGCATACAGCGAAAGAAACCCTGTATTTGCATTTGATTTTGACCACACTCTGTGTTAGTGTTCGTGTTTGCCATCTCGCAGGTAGTTTTCTCAACCCACTTCATAGAAAATACCCCAATGCATATACCGTGTATTGCTATTCCGTCTATAAATATCGAGATATGGATTTTGTCCATGCTCCCCAGCAATAGAAAATGATGAACCTAAATGTCATTTCCTTCTAGTTCATTCGTTTTTTTTTTCCTCCCATTTTCAAAACAGAAGGGGACTGTTATTGCTTCAAATAAAGTGTCCAGCAGAGTTGTTTCCGTGTCATTCTCTGAGGATAACAGCTACTTCGTCACTGCGGGGAACAGACACGTCAAGTTCTGGTATCTGGATGCCTCCAAGGAGAGGCGGGTGAGCAGATGAGACGGTCGGACAGTGTGTGGAGATGGTCATATGAAGAGCTGTCGTGTTGTGCTAAATGAATCCCATTCTCTTTTTCCAGGTGAATAGCACAGTGCCTCTGATTGGTCGGTCAGGTTTACTTGGGGAACAGAGGAATAGCATGTTCTGTGGTTTGGCATGTGGATGGGGTGACATGGCTGGCTACACTTACTGCATCACAAACACTGGCCTTTTGTGCCAGTTCAACAGCAGGAGGCTCCTGGATGCTTGGGTCGACCTGAAGGTCAGGACCTCCATCTCAGTCCTTAGATTGCATTTAACCTCGATTCATTAATTTTCTTTTTCGACATTTGATGATACCATGATTTCTACTTTGCATGCAAAATGTCTGTCTAAGGTGTGGTACTGATCTTTGTCTGCCATTAGACCTCCTCAGCGCGATGTCTGTATGTAAGCGAGCACTATGTCTTCTGCGGCTGTGCGGATGGAACCGTCCGCGTCTTCAAACCTCAGAACCTGCAGTACATCACGACGCTCCCGCGCCCTCACTGCCTCGGGGTGGACATCACAAAGGGAGTGCACTCGGGGTGCGTGTTGTGACGGGGTCATCAGAAGAACGAGGTGCACAGGCACTCAAACACAGAGCTTTGCTTTCTCGGCTTCTGAATTTGTGATTTTTCTGCAGTCTCCTAAAGACAGTCTAAGGAGACTTTTTTTTTCTTCTCTTGAGGCCTTTTGGATTCCTAAGGTCACCCCAGTAGATGCAGAAAAAAAGACACTCAACATGTCCCTTTAGCTCTAAAATAATTTTTTGTCTTAACAGTTACCTATATATTTCTGTCACCTAAGACCATTACTTTGGCGATGTTGATAAATTCAGATTCTTTGTTATGGCACCTTTTGGGTGGTTCCCAAATTACCCTTTTTTTGGTCACAAGTGATTTTTATTTGCTGAATGTCTGAAATCAGTTGTGAGGATATAAATCTTTACCTGAATGTAAAGCTAGTTTCTTAACTGTGTAATATAATCTGCACTCGTGTCATATTATGTAAAATGCTGTCTCTCTTTTTTTTCTTTCCTCTTAGACACTTATTTTCCAGCAGTCCAGATGCAGAGTACCCAGATACCCTTGCTCTGACCTTTGACCCAGTGACAAGCTACCTGACCTGCGTATACAATGACCACAGCGTTTACGTGTGGGATGTCCGTGATGTCAGGAATGTGGGGAAGGTCTACTCTGCACTTTATCACAGTGGCTGTGTTTGGAGTGTGGAGGTGTGTATCACCCCCCCCCCTATTGAAATACAGTATCAAGTGTTATGGTTTGACACAGACCACTGTAATAGAAAACTTTGTTTTTCAAGTTATCCTTGTTAATGTTGAAATTTGCAGATAGTCCTTGCAGAAACTGGCAATGTGTGGTGTCTATATATGTATATTTAATCTTTCAGACCTACCCTTGTGTGGTGGAGCAGTCTCCATCCTGGTTGAGCCCTGGTTCCTTCCTCACCTGTTCCTCTGACACTACCATTCGGCTGTGGCACGTTGATCCCCAGCAGAACATAGGCCCAGACTCCAACTATGGTCGGAACCTCTATAGCAATGTAAGGGGAAACATGTTGCCACCTCACTCTTATTGCTCGTGTCTGCACGGGTGACACTTTGTAGCCCACCACCCTTCAGACGGCACACGTGTGCCTTTGTGTGGCAGGATCTTATGAAGATTGTGTACCTGGGGAAGGACATGCAACATCTGCAGCAAGAATGCGAGCGGGGAGAGGGTGCAGGCTCCGAGGCAAAGTCTGGTATCCGTGTCCTGAGGATCAGTCCTGATGGGCAGCACATGGCAGCTGGAGATCGCCATGGCAACCTGCGGTGAGCAGTTGATTCTGCTTTGGATGGCATATAAGTTCACGAGGAAAATTTCTAATTGAAGTACAAATCGGAAGTAATATACACCCAAATAAAATTACTCTATATTGCTATAAACATTGCCTGGGTTCTAATCCTGTGGCTGACAGTGTGATTTCCCGGCTGGGTCCTTATGCCCAGTTGCTCCAAGGGCTCTGTCTGATCCTAAATTATATGTTTCTATGGATATGTAGCGTCTGTTACATGCTTAAATATAGATGTAAACTGTAATCTAGGAAGTCATGCATAGAATATGACGGCCTCTCTCTTGCAGTATTTTTGGACTGCAGTCTCTAGATGAGCTGTTGAAGATTGAAGCCCATGACTCGGAGGTTCTGTGCCTGGAGTTCTCGCCGACTGAGACCGGTAAGTGCAGCTCGGTTGGGTAGATACACGCTTGCGGGAGGTGGGTATAACTGATGCTGAGCGACCTGTACCCATGCAGGCCTGCGCCTGCTGGCATCAGCGAGCCGAGACCGTCTCATCCACGTGTTCAACATGGAGAAGGGCTACAGCCTGGAGCAAACTGTGTATGACCACTCAGCTTCCATCACCGCCATTAAGTTCACAGGTGTGTGCTGTATATGCACCCCCTCCCCCCAGATGGAATTCAATGCAGCATGCTACTGTGCTTGCAGTAGGGAGGGGTGATAACACTATTTTTAATTTTGGTCCAATTCAATCCAATACAAAGGTTTGATGGTAAAATTTGCTATGCTGGGGGGTGCTAACGATAAATTGCTGGACAGTTGGGGGTGTGGGGGAAGATGGATCGATCAATCGAGTGATCAGGTACCCAATTTCCAATTCTTCATGTTTGTTTCATTCACAGAATCGATTCTTTCAGTATCAAAACAGGGTACTGCAGTCATAGAAAACCTGGATAAGTTTTGGAATTCCTGGATAGAGAGGAAAAGTTTTGGAAACTAGCCTTGTTCATTTTTGTTTCCCGCTTCGTTACGCAACGTGGAAATGTACAAAGCCAATAATTAACTACCTTCTACAAATACTGTTCTATCTACTTTAGTTTTACAAACTTGTGGGTTTTGGAAATTTTTCTTATGGTACTGGAAAAGTCATGGAAATTTATAATGCCAGAATTGGGGCAACCCTGTCAGAATAATCAGTGTTTCAGTATCGATTGGCACAATCTTAGCTTGCAGCCCTGTGACACCTGTGATGGGGATGTGGGGGATGATGTCATCTGCAGGTGAGGCTTCAGATGTGCACATGGTGAGCTGTGGGGCTGATAAGAGCATCTACTTCCGCACAGCGGAGAAGGTAACCCTCCTTCCCTGCAAAAGTCGCTTCTCTCTCAGGTTGCAACGTATTCAAATGAACATGAATGCATTTCTCAACAGTCCACGGAGGGCCTGACGTTTTCCCGCTCCCACCACGTGGTGGAGAAGGCCACGCTGTACGACATGGACCTGGACGCCACACACAGTCATGCAGCCATTGCCTGTCAGGACCGTAACATCAGGTACTGTGATGGGGCAGCATCCGATCTATTATTTGATGCCTAATTTCAGGCTTCAAGATAATCCCGTTTAGAGGAAAATTAATTTCTTAGCATTTTCTTCACACTTCGGTTGCTGTTGGTGAATTATGTGATAAGACTTTTGGGTGGAAAGTTGTACGGTTTCCTAGCTGAAATTAAGGTGACATTTGGGTTCTTACTCTGTTTCCCAGGGTGTATGATGTTAAAAGTGGCAAGCTGAAGAAGTGCTTTAAGGGATCCTTAAGTGACGACGGTACGCTCCTTAAGGTAAGAAAAGGTTTCTCAGGGTGTCTTGGCTTGTGTTTTGGCTTCTGCCAGCTCCTGCATGTGTGGTTTGGACCTTCGGCTCTTTGTTCTCAGGTCCAAATGGACCCATCTGGTTTGTTCCTGGCCACCAGCTGCTCAGATAAAAACATCTGCATCTTTGACTATGAAACTGGCGAATGCGTGGCTGCCCTGTTTGGGCACTCTGGTAGGTGCTGCCTGCCCTCGCTTAACCTCCACAAGCTCTCGGCAAGAGGCAACTGCTGATTGCCCCCCTCTCCCCACCCTACACAGAAATTGTGACAGAACTGAAATTTACCCCGGATTGCCGGCACCTCATCACTGTGTCTGGGGACAGGTAAAAGCTATTGGTGTCTATTCTAGCCCTACTGCCTGCTTTGGGCGCATACATCTTATGGCTTATGTAGTAGTGATGGCCAAATGAAGCCTCATGAACCATTTGCTATATTTTTTAAACCCACTAGATGGTGCTCTTGACTTGCTTTGGGGTGCATGATTTGAGACTTTTGTTTTTTTTTTGAAAAGACAGCACCATCTAGTGGGGTCGGAAAATACAGTAAGTGGTTCATGAGGCTTCATTTAGCCATCACAAGATCTTGGCACCAGTGGTAACCAGGAGTGATTTGTAAGTTCGCTCTCTCTGTGTTAGCTGTGTGTTTGTATGGAGACTGGATACTTCTATGACCCATGCCATGCGAAACAAGCTGGCAGAGCTGAGGTTGCAAGCCGGACTCCGTGGGCCAGCCTTCACCAAGTGCCCCCCCATCAGGTTCGTCACGAACGTTGTCATTTGGGCAAATTATGCATGTCATTGTCTACTTTGGATGCTAGTGTCTCGCTGCTCATGTGCTGTCTTCCCTCCAGGAAGGAGACTTATATCAGTATACCTAGAATCATGCTGCCAGAAATGGGAGAGGAGGAGCAGGTTGTGGAGGAGGAGGAAGAGGAGGAAGATGGGAAGAGTGAAGAAGAACACGAGGACCCCCCCAAGACGCCTGCCCGGGAGGACTCCCTGCAGGGTGAGCTGGCAAAGGATTGACAGTGCTGTGACTGCTGGGGGGTCCCCTGACGGGAACTTTGGACCAGGTCCAGGCTCTTCAAATCCTTTTGTTCTCACAAACTAATTCCCTCTAGTGTCTATTGTGAGCATCTTTGGGTTTTGATAAGTGCTGTGTAAATTTAATGTATTATTACTGAATCTACCTCCCCTCCCCCCACTTGGGCTAATTTAAGTCTATGTTCATACTGTGCACATGTTCCTTCAGATGCTCTGGATCCCATGTTCCTGCAGACCAACGGCAAACTGCCCATGTGGGCCAGAAGACTGGTACGTTATCCTGAACCAGGCAATTGTTCGTCTGGATCGTGTTCTGTGCACACAACTGAGGCTCCGTGCTGCTTTTCCTAGGGAGCAGCTGGCTCCTCTGGAACAGACCCTGTTGGTGCCGCGGAGGTTGGCCCCTACCAGCCGCGGGGGCGCTGGGCGGAGCAATCTGACCCCCAGGCCATTCGTTCAGTCTTGGAGAGTCGTAGTCTACAGCTGCCCCTCTCGCCCAGTCCCAGACAGCCTGAGAAGGATGTGGAAAAGGAGCCAGAAGAGGATTCCTGCTTTCACCCGCAAAGTCTGGACAGCCTGCTGGAGCAGGAAGATGAGGAAGAAGAATCCGAAGTGGAGGAAGGCGAGGTCAGTTTCAGGGATTTCTCTGCTCTTGGTTTTGTAGTAGGAGGAGGGGAATGTGACTCCAGACTGCTGTGTTGACTGAGCTGCATGACAATTGTATGAATTCATGAAACTCTTTGGAGTCGGTCCTGGCAGGTCACTGCTGCCATCTGCTAATTGTGTGTCACCAGAGGTTGGTGACAGACTGATGAATATGAACTGGCAGCTGCTGTGTTTAGGACATGAATGTACAGGCAGATAGGCTGAATAGTTCTGTTGTGGTATGAGAGAGCATTTGGTACAGTACCAAACTTGCCCAAGTAAGTCGAGAGTTGTAGATGGTGGGTCAAAGGCTGGTGGAACCCTGCTTGTTGGCTTCCCAGCGACATCTGTAGCCCATTCTGTGTTCACCATAGCTGCCGGACAGTGAGCTCCTACCGGACCACCAGAGGCCAACCTTCCTGCCGTTGTCGGGCAGTGAAGAGCTCTTCGCGCCAGGGCTGGGCTCACCGGAGGCGCAGGACTACATCCTGTACCCTGCCAACAGCACCACCCTCTCTGCTGGCGGGGAAGGGTAAGACTAACACAGGGGACACATCCATGCAGAACTATGTAGATAAACTCCGACTTTATTGAAAATGAGCTACAGCAGCCTACAGGCTGTTCTTCCTGGCAGTGTGTAGCAGTCAGCCAATGTCTCAGTGACCACTGTCATCCCCAGGGAGTTTGACGTGAGGGAGCAGTGTGAGGCCATGCCTGAGCGTCGCCGTGGAGCCTGGGGCGGCGAGGAGCTCAGTCCTGACAGTGCCTGCTGCGTGGGCTCTGCTGAGAGCCAAGCCTCCAGCCAGGACCCCCCCCAGGATGGTACGTGTTATGCGGCCTTGGCTCAACTTTGAACAAGAAGGCCTTCAGATGGATGTTCCAAAGCATGTTTAAACAGGCCATGTTTGTGCTTCCCCTGTACCGTTTCCATGCTATTGGCAGATACAGACTCCCTCAGTCAAGTGAGCTCCACAGGCAGCTCTGGGGTGGAAGAGGAGGACGAGGACCCAGGGGTGCTGTTGAGGCACCATTTTGACACTCTGGCTGACAGCCTCGCTGCGAATGGTGAGGTCCGGCTGCCTCTTGCTGTGCTGTGTGGAGGGTGCTGCTTTTCATGTGTCAGTATGACTATCTTACAGCTCTTCTCCCTTCCCTGTTTCCTTCAGAGAAGTTTGATACAGACCTCAGGAAATTACAGCCACCCACAGAGAGCATCTTCCTAAATCCGCGACTCAGCATCTCCACACGTTTCCTGTCCCGCTTCCAGGGTCGTGCAAAGTTGGTACCTTTTCCCTGTTGGATTTCTGTTCACTCCTTGAATATTAATGCATCTATTCATTTGAAGTGCTGTTGTGTGTTTACCCGACTGTCTGTTCTTACTTCAGTAAACTTGGAATTTGCCTCCCGCTTCGGCCTGCGGGGCTACCTGCCCTGTCTGTCCCTGTGATCACAGAGGAGCCCTCTGGCAAACTGACTGGTGCCCCTGAGGTATGCAAGTGTCCTGTGGATCCATTACCTTTGCATGTAAATGCTGTAGCATGACAGAGGTTAAATAGTCTGAGTTGTGCTGGAGGACGCTGCCCTTTCAGTTAAGATGCTGGTCTTGCAGACGGGTTTGTCTCCTGTCCACTGTGATGTTTGTTGATATGTATGGTTCGGTGTGATTCCTGAGGACCCTTCCATCCGCTGTCTGTCTTTACTAATGTTTCTCTTCTACCTGCTTAGGTGACGTCAAAGCTCTTTTCTGATGAGGCTGTATCAGAATCTGTCACTCCACAAGAGGAAGGTGGAGAAGTGGGTGAGCATTAATTCAGACTTATAAAAAGAATATCGAATATCCCCTATGACTGTTATTCAGATGATAACGTTTTCTTTCATGATTGAGAACCAATATCTTTCACTGCACACATGCAGCCTCCATTGGTGCGGTCTACACTGCCCTGGCCTTCTGTTTCATTCTCCTGTTTCTACAAAACTTGTTGTGTAAACATACAGCCAGTGAGCTTCTTGTTGGTATTTTACCACTGTGACATGAGACTCATTCTTGGCCACTGCAGTGAAAGTGGTCAAGTCTCGTTCACTGGTGAGAAGTTCCTCGGTCTTGGCTCGGCGGAACCAGAGGCCTGTACAGGGTCGCAAGACCATAGCAACCTACCAGTGGCAGGGCATTCTGGGAGGTGTGTGTATTATAACAGCAAATGTGCTGTTACAACCCATTGTGGTGTGTTGTCACTGGTGGGGGTGTTCTGGACTGTGGGCTCATTCTACACCTTAGCACCTTACTGGAATTTACCTGGCTGGGTTGTATTATATCTCTTTGGATTGGTCCCTTCTATCATGGTCATGGATTTGGTGAAACTTTTTCTGTGACATGTTCCCTCTCATCCTTGGAGTCCCTGACTTGTTCTTTCCTGGTACCTCAACTCAGATGTGTCAAACAGGATCCAGCTAGAAGAGTCCACCCCTCAGATTTCTGTCCAGAGCAGTGCAGAAGCCAGCCTCCAAAAACAGGCCCTCTCTGGGCCCAGCAAGTTCTGCGCACCAACACGGCCAGCTGTCCGGCCTGGTCGCCAGAGCTACATGTGCACCACTGCCAGCTCACGTGCAAAGATGTCTTCTGAGAACCTTAATGTCACACCAACAGATGAGCAGCCCTCCAAGACCCCGCCTGGTCTGAAGGGTTCCTTCCCCCAGGACCTCAATGTTCACCAGGAGTGTAAGGAGAATCGGCCTCATCCACTGACAAATCGCCCCACTGGACCCACAGCCAAACCCCCCAGCACATCTGGCAGCCAGCCCCCACTGCCACCAGGCAACCACAGCGCCAGGGCAGCCCTGCACCTTGACCTGGCTGGGCCAGAGCGCACTACAGGCCTCAAACTGCGGAGACGCTCTGCAGACGTTACCCGCCTCCTCACCCTGACCACACCCACAGAAATGATGTCCCTGGGTGCAGAGGGGAAGAGTTACATCAGCAACATTGAACATAGTCTGGTGTCTCAGGGCATCTCCCGAGGAAGGAGCCTGTCCGCCTTGGGCAGTTCCATGATGCCTGAGAGTGGCACTGCCCCTGTGGACCAGGTTCCTGCTGTCCCCCCTGTGAGGGGCACTGAAGGGAAGCATCCCCCATCTGTGTCACAAGAGCTGCCCTGCAGGCCCGGGTCTCCTGGTCCTCTCAGGGACAAGATGGCATCCTTTCCGTCACCGTCAGAAGGTATCGCCCTTTCGCACGCTGTTCGTACTTGGAGGGTTCTTGCATTTGTAATCTGAGTGTATTTGATGCTCTGCTTGTCTTTTATGTGCAGATGTCATAATTGATCCAGTGAGCATACAGACTTGTAAGGAGATCGTGAGTGATCTGCAGCAATCAATGAAAAGAGCACTTTCCTTATACAGCAAGGTGAGATGCTGGAGGAGACCAAATGTGGCTGAAGTTGGTCGCTGTGGTGAAACTCATCCCAAAAAGCAAAATACTGTCAGAATATTAGACATTTTTTTTGCATTGGCCAGTGTGGTGGGGAATGGAAGACAGCTTTATATAAGTGGCCTCAGGTCCTGTTGGGTTCTAGAGGGTTAAGAGTCTCAGATTGTGCCACAAAAGACAGTAATAAGACTGGTCCAGGATATGGTGGTGCTTACTGTGCCTGGGTAGCTGCATCTGAACTTGGCAGCCTGTCTAACCTCTTCTCTGTCTCTCCCCAGCTCTGCTCTGTGGAAGATGGCACAGAGCAGCAGCTACACATGAGGTCTATCCTGACGGATGCCTTTGCGGCGGTCCAGAGTGAGCTGGACTCCGTGCAGGGACAGCGCCCCCCACCAAAGGCTATCTGCCCATCAGCAGAGGAGTCTCCTGGTCGACAGCTCAAGGACGACCGCACTGTGGCTCTATTGGAGAAGTACTCTGAGATGCTGCTGAGGATCGCAGAGAAGAAGATGGACTGTAACTGAGAATGTCGGCACTGTTTGTGACACCTGAGTTACCTGTGAGAGACTCAACCCCATGATCATTAAAGATGCTCAGTATTAGTGTTGGGAGAGTGCAATCATGTGCTGAGTTTGCCTGATTTAACCCAGTGGGAAATGGGCTAAATCTGCTGGACAGTGCACAGTAATTCCTCCTTCCGTTGGTCTGGGAGAAGCTCTTCCTCCCTCCATGATTACATAGTACAGTATGTAAAGGCTGTGCTGGACTTTGACAGCCTTGGGTCTCTGTCACCAATTTGCTCCCTGATTGACAAACCATAAACTGATATATTCACACCTAGACAGCAATATACGGACAGACAGCAAATCCAGTGCTCGCATCCCTTTTTGAAAGTGTTAACTTTTTTATTGCATGGTTTATTTCATCTGTATTTTTTTAAACGTATTCATACATGCATTACCATGCAATAGTCAGCATCCCCCACTAATGCATGGTGTATGATTTTAGATGGTATTCTGAATGAAACCAGCACCTGAAATTCTTAGTGTATCTAGTCACATACACTGAGGTTTTAATGGCAGTCATGAAATGCTTTTTCTTTTAAGAGTAATGAATGCGTGGAGTGGTACATCTCTGTTAACTACAGCCTTGTGGTTTACATCACTCACCAGTGTTCTGTTGCAAGCAGTCAAGCACGGTGTTCTGTCTGAATTCAGGTTGTGAAGCTGGATGCTACAGGCGTGTAATCTGAATCTGCTCTGTTCAGTGTAGCTTTATGTAGTTGCAAGGTGTTCAGCAAAACTTTCCTTATTTGCACTAGACAGTTTTTTGCACTTGATGGTTGTCTTTTGAGTTGTTTTTGTAATCACGGATATACAGATGTGCAGTGTTTTTGCTTTTTTGTGTGAATATTTTTCATATTCATTTGTAAATATTTTATGCTTTGCAGTACCCATCACAATTGTGTCTCTGCCTTTTTTTTAGTAAAGTAAAACGTGTTTTATTAAAATATTTTATGTGGCACAATATATAGTGTGGGTTTATCAATCCACAACTGCCTTCTTCACCCTCCTTTATTTCCTCCCACTGTTGACTGGGGCAGTTCAACTGGAACATAAATTAGTTGAAGCTATATATAAACATTGTGTTGGTAGTGTTGCACTCAGGCATATCACTGTACTGCACATCTCAGCAGCCCTCATCTCACAGATTCTCCTCTGATTTTAAATATTTATTTTGGAGCAGTTTGCAGGGATTCAGAGTTTGCCCAAGTGTGCTCTCAAGTGAGGTATGTAAAGCTTCTGCAAACCAAAGCTAAGTTGTTGTTCCCAGAATGCTAAATGTGAGTGCTACCTGAAACCTCCACACATACCACGCGGTCTTCCGGTTTTAAGTTTGTGGATTCCTTCCTCATGTAAAAGTATGTCAAAAAGCACACCGGGTTATATTCATACTCATATGCATTACAGGGAAGACTTCCAACCTGCTGCATGACTAGCCTCTCATGTTAAACGAAATCTGAATAATCTAATAAACAGCTCTGACATGTCCCCTGGGAAAGAGGCATATTCGCACCAAGCCTATCACGCTAAAAATGTCATTCCACCTGACCTGTGGACTGTGGATTTCAGTAATGCGAGTCCCCCCCCCCACCGCGTTAACGACGTGGCACATGACTCAAATGAAGGGTTAACCGGTGCTCCGCTAAGTACAGAGTTATTAAACAGACAAAGAGAAACAGCAGCGTATTTATTATTTATTTTCTAAAACCCAAAATGTCACGCTTACAGCACTTACACAGCATCGCACACAGCTCGACAGATACATTTACTGCATAAACTACAAAAAGTGCAACTAACATGGCGTGCGTAGGCGACAGGACGGGCGTGTCCCGGCGTGTGTTTTTAATGCAGCCGATGACGCTTCTCTCTAGTCCAGAGAAACAAAAAAAGAGAAAAAAACAAGTCTTGGTGGTTAGTCAGGCAGGCTGGTGGGGCTGCTAGAAGCGCCTGGGTGTGCGCTGGCAGCGACGGGCATGAAAGGCGGCTGCACGGAGCCGGAGGAGCGGAGGCTGTAGTCAGGATACGGGGCACCGCAAAACGGGGCCCCGGCCTCGGGGCACGGGGGCGAGGACCATGGCCGATCCGTGGAAACATCACATCATCCATCAACTAAAACTTCGGGACAGGACGCAGAAGATCATGTTTCAGGAGGTCATACGGTCATGTAGGTTCCATAATTTATCCTACCGTTAAGATATGCTGTTGAGGGAAATTACTTATTGCTTTGTTCAGTAGTTTCAGACAGATCAGCATTTTTTTTAGAAACCGAAAATGGCACGAGAATGACAAAGCTACTAGAGGATCGTCTTTAAATGTCGGGTCTTACAAATGCAGGATATGTGTCAGTTTCGGCTTTTTGGTCACCCTTATACTGCACGCATTGCAAAAATCCCAGTATTGACTCCTGCATATTAAATCCAGCGGCTCGCTTGCTTGCATACATAAATGTGGGCATCTGCTTTTGTTATGCACCTGCGTTTGTTATTAACATAACCATCTCTGACACCTTATTAAAAATAAGCGACGGAGATGCCATGGCACCGTCACTCGAGATGGCGTACAAAGTGCCCCACTGTGCATTTCAACAGATCGCACACTGATGTATCTCGTCGCGAACAAGTACTTTTGGATCTGAACCAAGCGGCACGGGGAAAACTCCCCTTCTGTCAGTCTATATACTTGTGATCTGCCTTTGCGTGATTTGTTCAGCCCTGTGCGATTTGTGTTCCCCTTTATTTTCAGATGTCACACTGCTAGAGAAGTCCAATCAAAGGATCTTGATCGCACAAGGCATCTTGGGGTCTGCAGCAAGGTAAATCAGGCACAGGAATGCATGACAGTCAGCTTCATTTTATACCGGAGTCTGTATTTTTATCTACAGTTTACTTCATTGTTGTATGTAAAACATAGGGGTAGTGGGTGTTAGGAGACAGACAGCTTAACACATTTAGCTGAAGTTTGAGGAAGTATGTACCATGTCGGCATTTTCTTGTCAACGCATCCAGGAAATTGTTGCAGTACCTAGAAAAAATTGAATGGTTTTTGTTTGCTCACTGATGAGAAGATCTGGCACTCAGAATTATGCTGTCACTCAACAGTTATCAGTTATCAGATATCAAGATCTTCATTTTTTTCCATGTAACTGCTATGTATGGATATTACAGGGTCCCTTCATATACCTCAAAAGAGTCAATAGTTTCTGAAGATGAGAATAAAGTAAAGGACCTGAAAAAAACAAATGGGGAGGTATGTTAAAATTTAATCATTAATAAAATTGTGACACCATCTTCTGTTTTTGTCACTGTACTCAGTTTCCTTTACGTTACATGTGATTTTTTAACTACAAACGTTCCCCTTACTATAGAGCAGGGGTGGCCAATCTTATCTGCAAAGGGCCGGTGTGTGTGCAGGTTTTTGGGGTAACCTTTAGATCAGTTGTTCAATTCAAGGTGTAAGGACTCTTCAGCCAATCATTCCTCTAATTAGCAATCTAATTAGGGAGTTGCAGCGAAATCTCGCATACAAAGTGGCCCTTTCTGGATAAGATTGGCCACCCCTGCTATAAAGTTATAGTCCTGTTTCATTACTTAAAGGTTCCTCCAAGGGTCATGTTTATTGGCTTCTCTGTGATGTCACTTCCTCTGACGGGAAGTCCAGGCAGCAGTTATTGGTTATGTATCCGAATCTCGGAATAGCTGTAAGATGTCTTCTTCACGTAGCACCACTTTGGAATATCATGCAGATTTGCCCCAGTGCTTGATGCATATCCAAGCTGTTCACACATCGCAGTGATTGATATGCTTTGTGGTTTGATACTTCTGTCAAACAAGATAAGCTGTTAAAATGGCATGAAACTCCTAACCTGACAGTAACTTTATGTTTGCTTTATTGAAAGTGACTTCATGGCAGGACATGAAGCAGAACCATCCAGTCTCTGTTTCATTTCTCTAGTTGGCCTACAAGGTTGTGGAACTTCAGCAGGAGATCACAATCAAAGCCTCCATCCTAGATGAGCAGTATACCAAGTGAGCTTTTTCATCTTCCATTTCAAAGAAAGGTTTGACATCCCTGCAGAAGACCCTGTCTGCATTAATATCTGCCAAGATGACTGAAACAGGTTGGAGGAAGGCTGTTAGAGTGAATGGGGTATAACGTAACAGGAATACTTTTCAGTATTACGGTTCAATGCAGCAGCTCATAATATTGGTTAATTGATTCTTAACCCATGGGTTGCGACCCAAATTTGGGTCACGGCAAGGTCTGAAAAGGTCGCAAGGCAGTGCTGGAAATGTAAACATTTTCAAACCAAACTCCTATGCTGATCCACAATCAGATTTCCCAGCCCCAGTCCTAGAATTAACCTATATTAATGGGTCTTGGGTCTGCAAATGATTAGCGCAAAACTAATGAACACTCAGCCAATCCAAGAAGCCAAACGACAGATGTTTAATTTAAAATTCACTGGCATATCCAATCAGATTTGTGTGATAGGCATTGATTGGCGTAAATTGCAGAGTGCACTGCGTGCTCGATCATAGCGTTAATTCACCTGATATAGGGTCGCAACTACAGTATGCTGCATGGTAAAAACTTGGTCGCGGTGCAAAAAAGGTTGAGCACCACTGATCTATACTTGAGACACGCATATGTGAAGTGTGGACAGTAGCCGGCCCGGCTTGTGAAGAGAACGGCTCATGGTCCTCGGTCTCGCACCACTCTGCAGGATGAGTGAGCTAAAGAAGCAGCTGGAGGCTGCAGAGTGCAGGTTTGGGAAGCTGCAGGCTGAGGTGGTGGAGGTGCGGGACGGGAACAGCCGGCTGAAGCAGGAGTATGACGCCCTGCTGAGGCAGCACCACACCATGGACGAGAAGTACCGCGAGGAGAAAATGCGAGGCACCGAACTGCTGGAGGACATGATCCGGCAGAAGCAGCTGGCCGCCGCCAGGATGAACAGCAGGAACGAGAAGAGAGTCCGGTAAGTGACCCCACGGCAATTACCTCTCTGCCGCAGGCAACCTTGGTGACCATGCAGTGACGCAGTGACGCATGATCACTGTCCATCCCATGTGGGGGGGGGGGGGGGGACTGATATTTTCACCGTCTGTGTAAAATGTTACAGAGTGTCTGTCAACTTTTACAATCACAAGATGAAAAATGAAATGATTAAAATTAGGAGAAAAAAATGATTAAAGTATGATTAGTAATCAAAATACACATTAATTGCTAAGTGTATAAAATACTGTGCTGTTATATTTTTGGATGCTGCGTGTGTTTATAGTCAGTGTGGTATGCAGCCTGTGAGTGTGTATATGTGCATGTAGTCTGTCATCTGCTTACCTGAACTCCCCCTACAAACAGCGCAAGAGTGGCTGGAATCCAGAAGACAGTAGCCAAGGAGAAAGTGCAGGAGTGTGTGTAAGTGGCGGGTGTAACGCTGGGGTTCCTGATTAGCCAGCCCGGGGGCAGCTAGCGGGGGCTCTGGGGAAATCATGCGTAATTGAAGGCCCACAGAGACTAGCTTAACTTCTTAGCTCTGGGGGGCAGAAATTCACCCTGGTAATTAGATGAAGGCACCATGAGGTGAACAGGACTCGGCTGTGCCTTGGTGGGGAGGGGGAGCTTTCCAAAGGAGCTCACGCCCTCACCCATCGTCGTCTTCTCTTTGGGAATGTCAGGTCTCCTAGTTATCACTCGACAGCGGCTATTCACGGCTGTAAGATAACCGTGGTCAATTTTTACAAATACCTGGGGGTACATATTGACAATAAACTAACGTGGGGTGCCCAGGTAGACAAAGTCTGTGTCATGAGCTGTCCGTAAGGCGCATGTTCTCAGCCCAGGGCTGCCTGTATAAGACAAATGTTCATGTCATATGTGCCACCTTATCTGTTGTTGGTTTTTATCAATAGCAATTGCAGGACGTGTCCAAAACAAATTTCCTGCAGGACAATAAAAAGTTATTCTCATCGGGGTCTCACCTGTTTTTCCATCTGTCCATCCGTCTTCCACGCATGGTCAGGGTCACGCTTGGTCAGCCACGTGTGATGAGCTCAGTCGGAGTCCTGATCTGCGAAGGTGCCTTAGGACTGCAGGGCGTTCCATTTGTCGCTCTGACATCGTACAGTTTGTGCCGAATGCACTCACATAATGTTACTGCTTTGCAGCGGCCCTTCTGACACCCTGCCAACAGCAACAGCGCCCCCTAAGGCTAAGATGGATGAGCAGCCGAAGAAAACCCATCCGAGGCCCTTTAGGTAGGAATGGACATTCACAGCATTTTAACGTCACTGTGTTCGCTGGGTCCCACATTGTGCTTCAGAAATACATATATGTGTCTTTTCGTTAATTCTGTTATCTATTTATCAGACTAATCAGAGATTAAAATATTTCATTTTCACCATAATTTTCTTTGTTTTGGGACACTGTAATTAAGCTTGCTAGCATGGTGTGTGTGTATGTTTTTTTTTTTCCAGTGCAAACTAATATCTGATGCCTTTCCAGGTCCGCCTCAGCCTCATCACCTCGGATTCTCGATTCTATCAAAGAACTCTTTGAGTACGTCACTCCAGAAATATTAAAAATACTTTGTTTTTTTCACATTTTTGAGCTGGAGAGTGATGGGCGGCGGCAGTGTCACCGTCTCTCTGTTTTCGAATAGCTAGAGGAGCACAGCACACAGCCATCGTTCAGTCCTCCAGGCGTCTCCGTTCCGTCGTTATTGTACACTTTGCATCGGATGGCAGTGAAATGCTGAACTGTGGTATGCTCTCTCCCCAGTAAGAAGAGGCGCGGTAACTCAGTCTGCAGTCTGGAGGAGGACTTCTGTGCCCCCATGAGAGTCTGTTTGGTGGCAAGGGTACCCTGCAGGTCCTTACATGTGCTGGTAAGCATGCCATCCTTCGGTGGTTCCCCCCCCCCACACAGACACACACAGACACACCTTCCTGAACAAGTTTTTCAACTTTTGTCATGCGTGAAAAATGAAAATGACATGCGTGTCATGATTTTCTATTACTTGTATGTGTGTCATTAGTTTGCACTGATTGGGCTTGTGTGGTATTACAGCAGGGGTCTCCAACTCCGGTCCTGGAGAGCTACTATCCAGTAGGTTTTTTATCCTACCCGGCTTCTGATGAGCCACACCTGCTCCTGGTATTAACCTGAGAACTAGTGTGGCTCATCAGAAGCCAAGGAGGACTGAAAACCGACTGGATAGTAGCTCTCCAGGACCGGAGTTGGAGACCCCTGTATTACGGTATACCTTGGTGTTTAGAAATCCCAAACGTATTATATGTCATGATATAAAAAAACACCACCGTTCCACTTTCTATAAAACTGATACGGAGATGCTGTATTGAGGCGATGTTGTAGTGCAGTGTTAGCGATGATGTAGTGCAGTGTTAGCGATGTTGTAGTGCAGTGTTAGCGATGATGTAGTGCAGTGTTAGCGATGTTGTAGTGCAGTGTTAGCGATGTTGTAGTGCAGTGTTAGCGATGATGATAAGATAAAAAAACAAATCAAAGAATAACATGCAGGCTTTGGTTAATGCCATGAAAACAAAATGGTCCAGAACAATCTTCTGGGGGATGTTCTATGAAGCAGTATTTCTCAGTTAGCTGGGTTTACTTAAGCTAGAAGTCTTGATTGTCCAATAAGAGTTTAGCTAAGGATCATTCCTATTGGACGATCATGACTTCTAGCTTTATTAACCCAGCTAACTGAGAAGTCCTGCTTCGTCTAATACCTGCCTGGGGACTTTTCTGCTGTGGCGTGGTTACCTCTCCTTTTTGGGGGAACAAACTTTGGAATTTGAATGGTGGCAAACAGAGATCGTAGGTGTTAGGCAAGAAAATATGTTAGAACTTTAAAAATGGTAAAAGTTAAGATGAGAGATCAGGAGAGTTACGTACTTTGGGGGCCGATGGCAGGTGTCGGTATTTTAATAAACTTTACGGTGGTGATCAGTGTCCATCGGAATGGATTAATGATCCCACTCAATGGCGGGAGGTCTCGTCGTATCCTGATGTTTATAACTACACCATCGAGTCTCCGGCTCATGTCGATTTCTTGTTTTCTAGAGAGTTAAATGTAGCTGCCTTCTTAGTCTCTCCACGTTGTTTACTTTACTGCGGTTAATGTTCAGATCTAGTTTAGCAGCTTCTTTATTTCATAACCTATTGTGTACCTGTATTGCATAATTATTTAATGTTGACATATTATTTACCAGTGTTGAAGTGTTTGCTGTAGACATAAACAAATTTGCAGTCAGGGTCCCCTAGGTTTCCTTAAAGGTCCTCCCTCCACCTGGAGCCGTAACATTTCTGTCATAGTCTCCTGGTCTGTCTGGTCTTGGTCTCCTTTTCCCTACTTGTTAGCAGGGAGAATGGAATGTGTGGGTGTATTTTACTATTGTCGGTGCAAGACACAACACAGCGACTATTAGGCATGATAAAAACCCATATCTCCTGTTAGCTGCCAGTCAGTTTTACTGCTTTATTTTTCCACAAAAAGGGACGTGTCCTCCAGAGCCACTTCAAGCTGATGTGAAGTTGCCGTGGTATCAGACTGCTGGGTCACGCGCAGCATACGTGAAACCTAGTGCGCATGCGGCCACAAATCGGGCAGGTGCTCAGCTCGGGCAGTGACAGTGGTGACAATAAATGAAGGGTGATCTTTTAACTCTTCAACAAGGAGTTGTCTCCACATTTTTTCCAGCGCTCAGCTCCCACACTAATGAGCCCATTTAGGTCCCCTCTCAGATTCTGGAGTTTACAGTAGCCTAGGTCATGTACTTTTTAAAAAAAAAAAAAAAATGTTTAAAATCATCATATACCTTATACTGGGGTGAAATGTCCAAAAGGTATGACGGTATGAAAAAATAGATACCGTCCAAGCCCAAACCTAGCCAGAATGTTCTGAAAACAAAAATTTTAAAGTTCTGTGTTTAAGTTTCCATGTCCCCCCCCCCCCCCCCCATGTGTTGCTGCATTTTCTTCTGCTGTCTGGAGCAAGTGTGGAATCACTGGATAAATGGTCTGAACTAATTTTTGCGTTACTTCCTTTAGCTTTGATGTTTTAAAATGATTCCTGCCTATTGGTCTCTAGGATGCACATGAACAGGGCATTAATGCTGTGCGATTCAGCTCCAGCTCTAACTTGCTGGCTACCGGGGGCACAGACAGAGTTATCAAACTCTGGGACATCAGTGCAGGTACTGAGACACCGTATCGTCCAGCAGATGGCAGTATAGTCGCGCTGTCCGAGTATCTGTAAATTGGCAGTATAGCTGTGAAATATAGATGTCCAGCAGGTGGCAGTAGAGTACATTAACATTTGGACAGACCAGTAATAAGAGAGTATTGTGTAGATTAACTAACAAGGAAAGTCTAATGTTACATAACAACAGTAACTGTATGAACAATGTCAAACAGTATTAGGTGCCCATATTAAATAATGCTTTTATATACCAATAGCAGCATATGTCAGACATTTCAACTATTTAAACACATTGTTTTTGGTCACAGGAACGTTACAGAACCGAGGAACTCTAGATGGCAGTAACGAGGGAATAACAAGTATTGAGTTTGACCCAACTGTAAGTATTTATTTATTTATTTATTTTTTACAGGCAGTCCCCAGTTTAAGAACGTCCACCTTACGGATAACTTCTACATATGCACGGACTGCCATAAATCCATATTACATTAAAAATTCAGGTTAATGGTTATTATTATTACAATTATTTTTTTTCCGACTTACCTAGAAACTCGACTCGACAGACATACTTAGGGTATGGATCTTGTTTGTAATCTAGAGACTGCCTATATATTCTAATTTAATAGAACACGTTCACTGAGTTACATATTTGGTACAGGTGATGTCCAGGTCAGTTAATTAAATTTTTGCGTAGCACTTTTCCCATCCACTGAAATATTCTGAATCAATGGCCATTTACACAAAATGTACTGAACATATTTAATTTCTCTACATTTATTTTGGGAGGAAAAGCAAATCATTGGTTGTAATTCCCGTTTTTTTAATTATAGGGTACCAAAATTCTAGCAGCATCATACGACAAGTCTGCCCTCTTCTGGAGGCTGGATAGCTGCTCGCCCAAGGTAACCAGCTGCCCAGTGAACAAACAGATTCAGTGCTGCCTGTTGTCATTGTGTGCAGCCAGCGTCCTGTGTGGAGGAAAATGCTGATATTGTGTGGAAAACAAGTGGTTGCTTTGAGGGCAGCATGCCGTGCATTGTCCTGTTTCCATCACTGAAGCATTTTTTTCCTTCTAGATCTTAGTCAAGGATACAGAATTTATAATTTTAAAGAACATGCAAAGTTTACACCATAGAGTCACAGCTATAGAACTGAAATTTTCTGGGAGAATATCAAGAGAAGGGCTGCGGTTTGTCTGTCTTTGTATTGTTGTTTTTCTGCGCGTGTCTGTAACTGAAGAGGTGTAGCGGGGCAGGTCGCTGTGTCTGCACCCTGGTTCTGAGCACGTCGGCCCTGTCTTGCAGTTCACTCTGACTGGCCATTCGCGCAAGGTTACAGCCGCCAAGTTCAAGTGCAGCCTGCGGCAGGTGGTTACGGGCAGCGCCGACAGGACCGTGAAGGTGTGGGACCTCCAGCGGGCTGCCTGTGAGTCACGCACCCGCTGAGAGGTGCTTTCTGACCCTCAGTATGACTTCAACGCTTAACACTGTGGTGATTTGTTCTGTAATGATAAAATTAGGTATGAAATCAGCTGAAGTTAGTCATTTTCTGGTAAAAACATTTGTGACTAATTATGCACGATGTAAACAGTGCATTTTTAATTAAAATTAAAAAGCAGCATGTATTTTAATATAAGAATCCCTGATCCTATCTGTGTGCCTATCTGGCCTCCAGTCTGTTCCCCTGCCAGGAGCCGTGTGATTCCTGAGAGAGGTTCCAGGGCAAATCTATGACTGGGAGATGGATGGATTGATGGTTTTAGTTATTTGAATAGTGGCTATTTTCCCCTCCCTCATAAACCCACTCCCCCCACCCCTGGAAAGCACAGGGTGGGGTGTTTTACTTGGGCTGGTACCCTGCATGTTGCCCTTGTGTCTCATGCGGCCGCGTCGTCTTTCTTCCCCATGTCTCTCCGAAGGCATACAGACCATCGAGGTTATATCCTACTGCAGCGACGTGGTCTGCACAGAGTACTTTATTATCAGTGGGCACTACGACAGGAAAATCCGCTTCTGGGACAGCAGGTACGTCAGGCTGCAGCGGACAAACGGTGTGAAGACATTGATCCCTTGATGAAATTGAAAGTGTAGAATGAAAAACGTTCTTAGGACACTAGCATAGAAAAAATAGCAGGCTAGAGATGACAAGCAAAGATAACCCCTGGGTGCTCTCTGTAGATCCATTTTAAGGAACAATCAATAAACGATACAGATTAATTATATGCAGTAATCCCTCAATTAAACAGTTTAAGAAATAAACTGAAAATAATGGAATAATGGATTTGCATTGAAATTCAGCTGTTTAAGTTATAGTACAAGTATAATGACTCGACGGGCCGTCCACAGCCAAGGAAGTAATTCAGATAGTGCGAATGTGTTGTATGTCGTGTATGAGGGATGATTAATTCCATATTATAGGTAACTTAAAGACAAATGTTTTTGCTTTTGTATTCATAGGTATAGTTGTACTTCTGGTTGTGCTAATTCTTTTTGTCAAATCAATATTTCGCAATGTATTAATCAAAATGCAGTTCCCGGAGCAAAATATGCGAGTTAAATGTTTTAGATGTCGCTGCCGCGACCAGCGGTCCCTGTTAAGCACTCTGCGGCTGATTTAGCAGGAGCCTAAAAGCCGTCCTACTTTTCGGGTCATTAATTGCCCAGTTGTCATGTGACCTCACCATTAACGGGTCATTAATCGCCCAGTTGTCATGTGACCTCACCATTAACGAGTAGACGCTGCCATCCGACCTGTCCTGGTCACTGAGGCTTTTCATATGGAGAGTAAACTTAAATCACTAATGGTGCACATATTCGTTACCTCCTGATGTTATTGGGACACCTACGTGCACGATAATGACATCAGCACTCCCCAGGAAGAGCTGGGAGGCTAACATCCTGAAGCACTGTTACTATGTAACAAAATGCTACATGTCCTTAGCACATTTAATACATCTTAAATGACACTCTTCTGCGTTGCATTTTATAAGTTGATAAAAAAAATCTTCATTCAGTACTACTATGTGTTCTTTGTTAAAATATTAGCATTTTTTTCTTACTAGAATGGTACATTGGAGTTGAGTTGGCCTTACACATGCATGCGGAATATGCAGAGACATGTCTGAGCTTGTTTATGGCACCCGGCACTTCAGTAACAGAGTATCACCCTCATTGCTGTTTGGGTTACCGTGTGTGTGTGCCGGTTCTCTGATCGCGTACCATACCCTAATAAAGATAAAGCCTTCGTTTGCCAGAAGCTGCTCTCATGAATCCTACAGTGGCCGTCTCAGCCCTTACATCCCATGGTTGCCTAGCAACAGCCGGCCTACATAGCTGTCCCTGCACTCCCGTCTTAATGGGATTCCTCAGTATTTCGCAGCGTATAGAAATGTGAGCCTGTTTTAATTATAAGTATGTCTTCATTCATTAGCGTGAGTCGTAGAATTTTTAGATCGTAGGATCTTCCGATTTTTGTGCCTCCCTGTCACAGACTTTGGATAATATGGCGTAATTAAGGCTTCGCTTTACGCATCTCACCTCAGTGTGTCTCTGAAATCTGAAATGGTGGGAAGCTTTGCTATTCTTCTAATGCGACACGCACACACACACACGCACACACGTAATCCCAGAACCTGCTCTACTCCCAGGGCGGCCAGCTGCACCCAGGAGATCCCGCTGCAGGACAGGGTCACCTCCATGGACCTCTGCCCTGACCACAGGCAGCTGCTCAGCTGCTCCAGGGATGAGAGCCTGCAGGTGGTGGACATCAGGATGAGCAGCTCGAGGAGATCGTTCAGGTAGCCGGAACCTGGCCACGTTGATGTCTGCAGTGTAGAATAACGGCTACCTCCCACACGCAGCCTGCTGTCAATCTGTGGGTTATCAAATGATCAATAGAGACCCGAATGGATGGAATAATCCTTTTCACTGCTTGGGGGATCTCTGTCATTATTAACATGCAGTTATGTAACCAAATAAGCATGGAGAAAATTTACTGATTCTGAATCCTAAGCCAAACATGTGCACATAAAATAGTGTCAGAGTAATACAGTAGAATACAATTACGATACAGTACGAAATTGTTATTAGAGGAACGTTACTTTGAAGTAACGGCGAAATCCAGCCTGAACTTGAAGACGTGCGTGTGACGTACTGGCTGTTCTCACAGTGAATTAATTGGCTGGTGCTGTGGACTTAATTTCAGAGGAGAATGTAGGAAGCTGATAATGTAGGAATCTGATAATGTAGGAAGCTGATAATGTAGGAATCTGATAATGTAGGAATATGATAATGTAGGAAGCTGATAATGTAGGAAGCTGTGACTCTCCCCAATGCCCTGGCTCAGCCACCAGCTCACATAACATTTCCCCTCAGTGTTGAAGCTCTTCTGTGAGATTTTGTGTGCTTTAGTTAAGTCGAGCGTTATTTACTTCACTCTCCAGTACTGTTTGCCATCATGTAAAACATAGCTTCTGTTTGTTTGCTCCCCTCTGAGGAGTGTGGCGTCTCTCTCTGACGGGGTAAAGCGTAGTGCAGAATTTGTGCTCCGCCCATAATATTTTTGCTTCTCTTAGGGCCGACGGGTTTAAGTGCGGCTCTGACAACACTAAAGCGATATTCAGGTAAGCAGGCATGAGTTCTCAGCACTTGACCTTTCAGACCGAAACGGCCCCCCTTACACTGCCCCCCCCCCCCAGCCCTGTGGTGCTGATTTCCCTTTTTATGAGATTCTTTGAGAGCTTTCCGTGTTTACAGTTTATTACGGTATTTGAGTTGCACTGAATTTCCAGCCATGCATGCAGTTTCTCTAATAGCGTATCTCTGTGCTGTACGTCATAGTATTCTGCCCTCTACCTAAGTTTACCTAAGTTTGCGGACCTCCTGGGTCGCTGTCATTTGGCAGTCATTCTGTATTGCAGTATACAGTTCATAAACCGTAAATAGGAACCCCAGCAAGGCATATCTTACAGTGCTTGGTCAGATCAGGTTGTTACCCATCACAAAACTGTTGTATTGTAGGATGGCTCTCTAGCTCGTAGGTCTTAACTCTGCCCCTTTCTGTCTCTCTATCCCGTCCACATACAGTTAGCTGGAATAGAGAAGAGCTTATTTTTTAAAAATGAAACTGTTCCTTACGTCTATGCACCATATCCACTCAGTTAGTATCAGTGTCTCCCAGGAGCAGTCCTGGACATTCAGGACCCTGCTGAAAAAGCTCATGATAGCTAACCAGCTTAATGTGTGCTTTCGCAGATTGGTTTGATGGTTTAGCTGGTGATACCAGCATATGATGGCCATTCTAGCCGACTTACTTGATCGTACCAGCATGACCAGCTTGCTAGGCGGGCCACACCAGCATGACCAACTGGTGACCCACCCAGATAAACTGTCAAAGAGCAGCAAGAGCTGGGACATGATCTTAGACCAGCTAAAACCAGCTACCATAAGCTGGTTTTTAGCAGTTTTTTGTTCAGCAGCGGAATGAGATCCCAGTGCATCACAGGAAACTCACGCAGTAGACCACTCACGCTTTCAATTTACTCAATGTATCTTTTTCATAAACGTGGAGGAAGATGATCATGCTGGTGTCCATAGTGTTGGAAAACCATTGGTTAGACTGTAGACATGACCTCTACCCTTCCTACTCCCCAAAGCCCCGATGGGAGCTATCTGGCGGCCGGTTCGGCAGATGGGGCGGTCTACATCTGGAATGTGAACACTGGGAACCTGGAGACATGTCTTCCTGACAAGCACAAGTAAGTGGTCCCTCGCAGGCCGCGGTCCCGCCATGACATCCGCTACAGCAGGAGCATCTTCCAGGAAGGCCTCGCAGATGTTCTTCAGAGCCCGTTGTCCCTTCGGCATTCCGGCCTCGTCTTTGCGTGTCCCGTGGCTGCATCCTGCCCCCTGAGCGCTTGTCAGCTTCCTGCTTTGCCTCCCACCCCCATCTTTCCTCTCTGGCTTGTGTGCTTTCAATAGGGACCCTTCTGGATGGCCGCCAACCAGGCGGGCATCCATTCAGTTAGTTAGGATTCAGGGCGAACGCCGTGCCGGGGCTTCCGAAGGACGGCCGCATCCTTCCCATTCCTAGCTTGGCTGTCATTCCAGACTCATCACATCACTTACCATTAAACAGCGATGAATTTCGAATCATTCGGTTTAGTTTGAAATGACAAGCCGAGGTCGCGGGCGTACGCTACGTACTTTGCAAACCCGTGACTGATGTGCTTGTATGTGGTGAGCGAACTGACATGCCCCGCCTCCCACAGCTCTTCCATCAACGCCGTGTCCTGGTCAGTCTCCGGGGAGTACGTGGTGAGCGTGGACAAAAGTCGCCGGGCGGTCCTGTGGAGCGATATCTGATGGGTGGATGCGGCCGTTGCTCCCCTGGATGATGTTGGACAACCCTGATGTCTCGTTGGTATCACGCACGCCGGACTCCTGCCTCAGATAACCAGCAGTGTTTCTCTCTGCCACCTTCAAGTATACAGGACAGCCAATAAGTTGGGTTTGATGGTCATGATGGCAGTGCGGAAGCTGCATGTCCGACTCCGTAAACCACGAGTGCAGCTGCTTTATTAAGAAGCAGCAAGGACACTTCACCCTTTGAAGTTTCCTTATGCCTGCAATTGGAAGCACATGATGTTTTCACTTGTGCAGCCTTAAGGTCATGTTCCTTTTGGGCAAACAGAATCTTTCTCAGCTGCTTGTTTCCCGTGTGTTTTCCTGGAAGACATCGAAAATAGCACATAATAGCTTTTCTTTGTGACGTGGAAAGGAGCTGCATGGCTCAAGGCCGAAGTGATGGTCTTCAGCATCTTTTCTCATCGGGCACTTTGTCACGGTATAGAGACGACCTCGCCATGGGTCAGATTTTCTCTTGCTGTGATGCCTGCAGTCGGTTTTCCCATAATACACTGGGACACAGACTGTGACACAAGTGCTGGTGGGACATACAAGCTCTGCACAACGACGCATTAAAATCCACCCACGCCGAAGGACAAAGCCGGTTAATCATTACTGTCGAATGGGCCCTTGGTTACCCAGTAGGAGTCCAGAACCTGGGCTGTACACATTTACACATTTACACATAACACATCCATGAGTCTGATGCAGAAAACAGTTTACTAATTTACAGCAAACTGAACCAGGGTAGCAAACATGTCAGAAAACAAACAGGACATGTTACATGTCGACTAAAACTAAAATGATTCCCTAAAAAAGAGCCAAGCCAGCGCGCAGCCAGCAAACTCTTGGCGAACAAGAGACTTTTCTGTCTAGGCTTTCAGGGAAAGCGTGTTGAAAGGGTGTTTCATAAAAGCACTTTGCTTCTTTCAGTTTTTTATGCGTGTAAATAAAAATACATGCACAACGGAAACCTGCCCCTTATAGAACGTGGCCTTATAGAAACCTGTCAGCTCTCTAGAACGTGGCCTTATAAAAACCTGTCAGCTCTCTAGAACGTGGCCTTATAGAAACCTGTCAGCTCTCTAGAACATAGTCTTATAGAAGCCTGTCAGCTCTCTAGAACATGGCCTTGTTCTGTCATCTTTATGGATTTTTATGGGGAACCGCTTCTTAGGTTTACAGTCAGATTTGCTCTGCAAACTGCATCAATTAGTTTGATTGTAAGAATTTCTTTTCCCTAATAATTTTATTATGCTCTTTTTTCTTGTGGTAACTGTGGATTGATTGCCTCAGAAACAGAAGCACAGCTGACACACTGTGACGGTTCCTTGGCTCTGGGCTGTAAACTGCATTAATTCTAACAGCATTAAAATATAAATAAAACAGCACTTAGTCCCATACACAGTTCAGTTTCATTTTGGAGATTGTTTTTTGAAGGGACAGTAATATCATTTGTGTTTATAACTAACAATGTTTCTGGTGGAAAAATAATAATAAAGTATTGATTACAAATTTAAAGTAATTTGCTACAATGTTAAAATGAGAATATTTTACTTTTTTTTTTAGCAAAGAAATATTGTTTTGGTTTTTAAGTATGAGTAAGTATCTGTGGAGAAAAGCCATTTTGATTATATCTCAGCTGCTAAGTGATGCTTCACATCAGCTGTGAGTCGAAAGTTAATATTCTTTTATTGGATCTTTTTTTTGGCTAATGTGGTCACGTCGTAGTCATCAGCAGTGCTGAATTTTAATAAACAGAGATGAGAGTTTTTCCTTTGGTAGAGTTGTGGATTTATAAATTTGATTTTACTTTTTAAAGAAATGTATATAATTACACAATACGGTCATTAAACAAGTGCCTTCTTTGATTTAGTGTAGGGGAAAAAACATTTGGACTTGGATTTTCTTTTCTTAGAAACTGCGTATGTTGCACATGAATAAAATACTTTAGCAAAACCTGTTTGTCTTGCATCTGTTCTCGATTTTCATTTTGTTTGGTCCATTTCACATATAATTTATACTGAAAATAGCATGACCTTCTGAAAATCAGGGAGATAAGCGCACAAAAATGGCTCATAATCCATACAAATATTTGTACCTTCAACAACTGGTCTCTTATAAAATATATTCATTGAACTCAGGGCTATATGTGGATGACATTATTGTGGAACAACTCTATCCATAATAAATGGCTGAAGGATGACTGGACGGGTAGGTGGATTATTGTGGCTCAAACTGTCTGATTGACTTAGATCAGGAAACATACAATATAACAGAAACAAATCATATGCCATTTAGTTACATGATTTTTTTAGGCCTAGTGTTGAAACCAAAAGGCATCATGACGAATTTACAGTTGCCTTTCTCCCATATGTTCAAACATGCAAATGGGTAGAAAGTGGATGAAGCTTTTAGAGATCAGTTTGTGTTCAGCGTGTGCTGTGCTCACAACAGCTGGCGTGCGTCGGTGCAAAGACACTTCTTTCGTAAAAATAGCATTTTGTATAATTTGCTCTGTCTCTGAAGAAAGCAGCTTAGGAAAGGGAGACAGTTTTAAGTATTTATCGTAAATAATTATCTTGATGTTCTTTTCGCTCTTAAATCACACATCCTCCGAGCATGTGGATCGTCGCCTCTTTACATCTGTTTTCATCTGACGTCTTGATCTCAAGACACCAATGGCTCACATCTTCAGCACCCTGCCATCTTGGTAACCGCGATAATTCTTGTTGTTTTTGTGTATGTGGGAAATCGCAGTATGATGATGAATTTGTAGTTGCCAGTTGTTTGTATGGTTTATAGTAGTATCCTGAAGAAAGTTACGTATTTAGGAAAGTTCGTTGCTTTTTGAAAAATGTTATTTGGAACGGATAATTCATGTATTACAATGAAATCATTGGGTCAGTCCCGGTGAGGGCTGTACTATAGAGATGTGATTTGAAATTGTCATAGACGGGGTGTATCCCCCCCCCCCATCTGTTTTCATCTCAGGCCATTAGGTTTTGAGATCAGTGAAGCCTGGACTGTTTGTTTCTGGTAGGGTGACAGTTTCATATTCATTTAGACGCGCAGACACACGTGCCAGATTCAATCAGTGAGTAAGCAAGGGAGACAGCAAGGAAATGAGGGAGTGACGAGGAAGAGAGAGGGAGAGAGAGAGAGAGAGAGAGGGAGAGAGAGAGAAAGCCATAGAGACAGGCAGATCGCTGGAGCAGCACTGTGATTCCTGTAGACGGGGATCTCTGGCTTTTATCATCTCAGGATTCCTGATCCCCTATCCACAGCTTCCTTTACAGGAAACAGATTTACTGTGCGGTTTCTTCTTGGATTCAGCGGAGCGAGCCGCTGCTGATCAGCCTGTTCAGCACATCTGTGAGAGATGCCTTTTTAATTCGTCCGGACGGGTCAGAAGGCAGGCAGGGAGGCAGCCACCACACACGACACTTTCACTCTGAGAGGGAACGCTGCCTTCGCTTGTCCCTCGCCATCTCCTCTCAGCTGCGCCCAGATCCGCACCGGCATCGCCATGGGTGACAAAGGCACGAGGTGGGTCAGATTTTTCATCCAGAAATTCAGCGATTTATGGTACGGCGGGATCTGACACACCGGCTGTCGTTTCTGTCTGCTGGCTGCGTTCTGATAGGCTGTATTCCTTTGTTGATACTGGGTCTTGTCCTGCGTGATATTTCATGTCTCAACATGAACTGATGCATCCACTCTGAATATGCTGTTCAAACCAGCAAACATTAGCCTCCTCTCATCTGTTAGTCTCCAGCACCTCAGCTGTCTTCAGCAGAAAAGGATTTGTGTGGTGTTGTAGAGACAGGGGGTCTTGGGAATTCTTTACTCCTGGTTGTTACATTCACAGTTAGAGGTCTGTGTGCTGGTTTATATATATATATATATCTACACACTGGGCAAGGTATGAAGCTGTAGCCTTTTTGCGTTTTACAAATGGTAAGGCTCATGTAATGTATATCTTCGGGTTTCAGCCCTTGAAAGCATGTTCCACCATGCGAGGAATGGTAAGGGTTACCCTAGCACATGCAGAAATTGTGTGATTGTCGCCGTACTTTTTCAAAATGTACATGGAAGACTCTTCACAATATATAAATATATACATATATTTACTCAATTGACACTCATGTCAAACTGTAGTTTACGCTATACTGTAGTAATTTCCAATTCCAGGAGTATTTACTGGTCTGTACAGCTGTATGTTAACCACAGCCCCTGGGATTATCTACTAAATACATTTTCCAGATGTGTCCTTCTAGGCCTTAGAATTATTCACTTTTTTTGAAGACTTATATAGAAGACAGTTGCTTTATCTTAGCAACCTGAGGCAGGAGGTGCTGGGGAACCTGGTGGTATCCCTTCGTAAATCACCGTTGTCGTGCTGAGGTCTTGCTGTTCCAGCATGTTCTCCACCCTTCCCAATTTCCTGCTTTTTGGTATTAATCCAATCTGATTTTCAGCAAAAGGTCAACACACCCTTGGGGGGGGCAAGCAAATATAATTTAAGCATAATAATTTAATGAAATATTGCTCCAGTATGTTTGTTTAATGTCATATTGGGGGATGCTTGTCTTTTTCAATTGTAAACTTCATGACTAATCTCAGGCCTTGTAATTAATTTCTTGGTGCAAAGGATTAAACCTGCCGATTAACTTTCCTATTGTTTTATTCTCACACTGATGCATATTGGGTTAGACACTACTGTCGTTATCTAGTGCTCTGCATTGTGAGGGATTTCCAGATTTGTGAGGGCCCTTTTGTTTCTGTAATGCAGTGTATGTCATGGGAGTTGACATATGGCCCTGAGATAGCTTTCTATCTAAGTTTGCGTATGGTTTAGTGTCCCACTGGTCCCGAGTGATGGCCCATCTTAATGAAACACACCAAACATGATTAATGATCTGTTTACTGTAAAGCAACCCCAGGATAAAACGGTGACTTAGTATGACGACTGGTCATGTTTAATGGTAGAAGCTGTGCTCAATGTCGCTTGTGCTGTGTGTCTCTGGACTGTGCTGTGTGTCTCTGGACTGTGCTGAGTGTCTCTGGACTGTGCTGTGTGTCTCTGGGAGTCTCAGCACTGGCCCAGATGCTTGTAGTTTCCTCCCTGACCTCTGATTCACCATTCCCAATTCCCACGGTTGCCATCTCTCACATATCTGTATCTGGCGTGACACTTACGCTTTTAGACTCTCACAGAAGAAATCTTACGCCAAATCTATATTATTACATTATAGACCTAAAATTAACTACATCAGAAGTGTTGGGGTAGTTTGCAAACCCTATAGACTATTTACAAGGTAGTAAAATTGTTACATACATGTAAATGTATGTGCACACTTGTCTCAAATTGAAATTCTCGCTCCAGCCTGCTGACCAAATTTGGCAACCCTAGATTCTTATTTTAATTTTCAGATGAGTGACTTTGCTGTCTGGATTTGTGCATTCCTCTAAGCTAAGCATGTCACATCACATGATCCCAGACCCAGAGGTCCTCCAGGTCTGGGCTTCGGGGCCACCTGCTCCCTGCTGTGCTCTGCCTGGGCCTGGTAGAGCCAGCTAAATGAGTGTTGTGGGACTTTCAATTAATTCTACTCCGCAGCCTGGGACCACATGTGCACACCTGTGAATATGGAGATACCCCCCCACAGAACAGGTGGCCTGCAAGTACAGCCTATTATTTAGCTCCAAGTCTCAGCCAAACCAAGCAGAATGTGATATGTCCTCCTGATGTCTCCATTGGTATCTCTTGGTATTGTTACTACAAGTCCAGCTAACAATGGAGGAGATAATTGGAACATTTTGTCTATATCATACTATTCAGGCATTTAGGAATGAAGGATGGAGCTGCTGGATTCAGCGGAGCCTGTGCAGAAACGCTCTCCATCATGTTGTTTAAAAATTCATAGGTGCTCGGCAATGTTTAATCAGTCATGAGACTTCGAGGTTCTTGAAACCTTAAAGGCAGATGAGGGTACGCATTGGTATTCACCGCACATTAGTTCCAGCAAGAAGAATTATATTATCGTATGTATTTCACGGGTGTTAAGACCTAATCACAAGTGTTAGTGCAAAATTAAGTGTTCATGCAAAAGTAGGAAAAATATTGCAGTAAAGGTAAAAAAAAAAAAAGATATAAATGGTGTCAGCTTCTCTCAGCAGCATAGAAGAGAAGGTAGTTTTATCATGGTTATAAATGTTTTATGTACCGGAAACACAGAAAACAAGAATCAGTATTAGAGCTCAAGAATGGTGGTCTGCCTGTTTATATGCAAATAATGGATTCTTGTTGAAATTATGCCATTTGGGTGGGAAATGTTGCTATTTGAGTTGGGAATGTTGCCATTTGGGTTGGCTTTTTTAAAATGGCACTCAACTTTACGTTTACAGAAAAACTGAAAAACCAAGTGAGTCCTGTATATCAACGTGCAGTTAAAGCATCATATCCACCTAGCAGGCTGGTATGGGATAGGGGTTTGATGAAGATAGATAATTATTTTTGGCTGTTTCTGTCCTTTTAAAATTCGTCAGAAATTTTGCAGCTGGCATGGCCTCTGGTGGTCACTTTCATGTTCAACTGAACAAAAACATCCACTGTTCCACAAAATTTGTCCACAAGTTTGGACCTGAGAAGCTGAGAAACTGGAACTGACGTGTGGCTCAAGTGACAGAATCTTATTTCTCAACAAACAGCGAGTGAAAATAGTTTGACTCACATGGGTGTCGGAGAGTGCCCAGTGTTTCTCACAAAGGGTCCCTTTCTTCCATTTCAGACATTCTGCAGACAGTTTTCAACCTGCGTTGTAATTACTAAAATGAGCACCTAATTGATGTGATGCGCGTTTTGTAAAATGTTGTGTTACTTCATATTGAACGTTTACAGTGTGCTGTTTACGGTGTGCAGATCAGATGCAGTGTTACTGGGATTCATATGGATTAGATACATCATATATAAAGCCTTATGAAAAGCCCCCCCCCCATTTACAAGCCATGAACATGCCTGAGGTACTCAGTAAGCTAAGGCCATCCAAGCCCTCAAACTCAATCAGTGAGACTTCAACATCTCTTAACATTTTTGAGTCTTCAAGTCTGACAACTTGTTTTCATGTTATTTCAATGTAGATTTGCACTGATTTCCTATTCCATGGTCAATATGTAATCAAACTTAAAAAAAAGTCATTTTCAGCATGAATCCCTCAACCTTGCCAGCACTGACTATATTGTTGTTGTTATTATTATTATTATTATTATTATCATTATACACAATTCTTGGTGTGCTACACTAATTTGCTTCTTAACTGTTAGCTGTTCCTCACAGTTCCTCTATGGAAACTAACTTTGTGATTACAGTCATTAACAAAATTGTATGCGTACCCGCTGACTGCATGGCATCTATGAATCAAAAGGCCTTTTCCTTTTACAATTCTAAGGTATCAGTAATGAGCTGTGCAAAAAAGCAGCTCTGCTCTTCATGTTTAATTTGCTAAATTATTCTCAGTGTTATGATTCACTGGCATCCCGTGGAGGGTGATTCCCTGCTTTATGTCCTATACTGCCCAGGACAGGTACCCCTGTGACCCTGTACTATTTAGCAGGGAAAAGATGGATGGATATAATCATTTGTGCAATGCTGCAGTATTAAAAATAATGTGATGATGTAAGTCTTTAATTTCACACTGCCGTCACAAAACCAGTCCCGTTACAATAAACAACAGCGGCAACTTCAAAAACCCCACATCTCACGACTCCCTCGTGCTTGCTGGTGTGCGATAATTAACAGGAAGGGTTATTGCTAGATATTTGGAGCAGTTGGTCCTCGCTACACGAAACGGTGTCTCCTCTGAGTGGATTTTTAAACTGCACATTAGTTGAGAAACGTGTGTGATGTAGCAGGGCTCTGTTGGACATTTCAGAACCAAAACACAATTTCTCATCCCACGGGGGTACATTGTCATGCCACAAAGTGCTTAAGATGACACAATTGGACTGCATAATGTCACCTGAAATGTTATTTCAAAGACATTTTAATGGATGTCATGAGTTTGTTTTAGAACCACTGGGGAAAGGGAGATCTCTTTCTGAGTTGAGTCACCATGGTAACGGTTCTGAGGCCCACTGCAGGTTTTTAGAGTTTGTGTGCCTAAATGTGAGACCTGCATCAAGACTACAACCCTGAACATGACCACATTCAATCAAGAAATAATGCAGTTACACTATTTTAGTTTCTAGAAAAGTTGAATCAATACACTGACAAATGTTTCTATAAGGTACTTAGTTAACGTTGCCAATAAATGTTAGGTAATGTTGCCAACAGCAAGAGCCAATGATTTTTTTGATGTTAAATGTCAATAACCATTTTTAGATTTTTACAGTGGTGGGGAAGGCAAGTTAATGGATGACTGAAAAACCAATTAATCAGAAAGCAAAACAAAATATTAAAAATCAAAATGCATGGACAGACTGTCAGGAAGGTAGATCTGCTGAACAGTAATCAGACCAGATTCATTCATTTTGTTCCATAACCTAAATGAGTTCTTCAGTCACCTCTTTAATAGCTAGAACATACACTGTAGACATTGGAGAATGTGTAATAAAAATAAAATCGGGGTGAAACAATGATTTACGTTTGTTCATTTGCAATGCCAAGAAACCTAAATCTGAAGGTGAGCACAGTAGTTGGAATATTCTGAATACTCTGAAGTATGATCTATCTATCTATCTATCTATCTATCTATCTATCTATCTATCTATCTATCTATCTATCTATCTATCATCTTTAGGATGATAAATAGCTTTATGTGCATGTACTGTAAACATTCTGCAAAGTCTTAAGGCCCAAAGTTCATGCCAAAGGGAGTAACTCTCACCACAGAAATCACTCTTCTCTAATCTATCTGAAATGCCTCATTGGAATTCCAGCCATCACTTCCGTGACATGGTGAGATCACCTTGTAACACAATCCTTATTGGTCGCAAGCTTGGCACACCCTCACAGAATTTTTTCTGACAAGGGTGGAACATGTAGGGCAAGCTGACCAATCGGGCAAGCTGACCAATCAGCACACTGGGCTCTTTGGGGGTGGGGCTTAAAGCTTTAACACAGCATTTCAGTTAGTCAGGGTGAATAAAGATATACAGCATGAGGAAAATAATGTGTTTTTGGAACATTGGAACATGTAAATCTGTTCTAGTGGGGGGTCATAATAAAATTATGAAGAGTGAAAATGATCATAATAGGGCCCCTTTAATTATTTTCCAGTGCTGAAGTGCACAGAGGGAACATCTTTCCAATGTTTTAACTCAGTATTAACATGCCAAGTGTAACAGTTTCATAAAACCCATTTACACACAACCTAACATACTCCACTGATGCATTTAATAATTTATTTATTTAGAAGACAGACGCTATTAAAGGGGAGCATTCAGACTGCACCCTGATTTTAAAATCGTCGTTTCTTCACTAGACGGTTTTGGAGCTGAGGGGCAAATGGTCCAGGTCGGCTCCCTAGCAGCAGAGCCTGAAGGCCAACTGTGTGATCCATGCAGATAAGCATTACCAGTGTGTTATCAGTGTGTTATCAGTGTGTTACGCTTATCAAAACTGGGACCAACAGGAACAAGTGCTTTCCTGTGCTTTCATGGTTTGTTTGTTGAACTGTATAGATATCGACTGTATCACTTAATGATCTACTGTACCACATGCTTTTATTGTTAATAGTTTATTATTTAAAAATCTATTTACACTGGCACACATTTTTCTTGAGACACATTGAACGATGAGACTATAACCATCCTTATAACTAAATGCAACCAGATTTTGAACTGGTAAGATTTGGGTTCCAGATGCTTCTCCCAGGTCATCTTCAGCTGCATTTACAGTACGTGAAAAGAGGAAATAATTAAGTTCTAACAAGTATATCTTAAAGTGAGAGATTCACTTTAAGATATAGAATCATTTATTAGAGACTCATGTTTTGCATTCTTCATTTCTCCCTTAGATGTGCCATGACAGGTTTTGTTATTTCACACGTTATAGCCATGAGAAATGCATGCTGGGAGAAAGTCACATGGCACAGAGGCTTGCTGTCATTTGAACATCTGGCCCAGACAGGGTCCCTTGGAGACATTATTACCCTGGGAAGGGATCAGGGAACATTCCAGTCAGCTGTTTGCATTTCCTTCATTGACAAAATATATATTCACTAATTCTCCCTGTTCATGGTCGGAAGTTTTTTTTTTTTGTCTTATGTTTATTCATTATTTCTTTTTACAAATTTAATTATCATTCTCCACTTCTCAGTCTGAAGTGTTATGTATAAATTCTTTGTATGTATTCAGTCAATCTGTGTGAAAAGTGACATCTGTCAAGGTTTCCCAGCCATATTGGTTGCATCCACAGTAAGTACAGTGTGGTGTTTGGGAAATCACCAAACTGGCTTTCTGTCATTCCTGTAATTGCAGACACATGTTTCCCTGGACATTCAGCTTTCTGACCTGATCAGATAATCACATCCTTTATATGTGTAGGCTGTTGTGTATGAAGACAATGGCCCAATCTACAGGTATTGACTAGCGTATGAATAATCACAGTTTGAAGCTGCAGAACTGTCAATGGGTTTTAGTCATTGTCAGGATAATTAACAGTGAAAACTATGTTTTCATATATATCCTTTTCCTCTTTCCCTAAATTGCTTGCATAACCTGTCATTTGCATATCAAAGACACATTGTTGCTATAGTAATTAGTGCTGAAGTATTAAACTGCAAGTGCTCTCTTTGTTGCCATGCCAACCTTATTCAAAAGCTGGTTTCTTCACACAAAATCATTTTTTTTAAGGTTGTGTTAGTCCAGGTTGCCTCCAATCTGAAAAGATATCCATGAACGGAAAACAAACAATAAGAATTTTTCATTATTAAACTGCTTAAAGATTAATTTTTGTATGACTGTCATAGTGGAATCACTGTTATTGATTTTGTTACTGATGCTGTTGTTGATATTGATTAGTTTATATCAATACACTAAGGTAGGGGCTCCAAAGATTTTGATGAGCACAGACTGGCATATGTTGTTATGTTGTGCAAAACTGTGACCAGTAAAACTTGCTGGGGGAGGAGGGGGGGTGTCACAATAAACGATGTGAATTGAATGATCAACCCCTCCCCCAAACACCATGCATATTGCCTATTAATCCATTAATTCTACCCTTTGTCCTTTGAATGGACACAGTGCAGTTATCTTGAAACACAAAAGTACTGCGAGATCTCGTTAGAAATTTTGTGAGATAACACAAAAGGGCTCATTATTTTTTTCCCCTCCCATGTCCCCTTAGGGACACCGTATATTTATAATGTTATGACAGCTTTAAAATATAATGTTTTTTTATATACCTGTAGAGAGTTGAAAGACTACTCTTTATTTTGGGTCTAAGTTCATGCATTGATTTGTTCTGCAAAAATCTGAGACACTCGACAGAACTGTTTTCAGTTTTTACCACGGTAAAATACTGTGGAAAATGAATTCGGACTTCCTTGGGGAACATTTTACTGCCCGAGTATTAGCGCACGGAAGTACATTGATCAAGGCTACATGATGCGCAGACAGTTTCTCTTTAATGGTCCGTCGTTAAAAATTCATTTCAGAGTGCATTTCGGCACAGCTAAGTCATCATACCCACAATTATCTTTTGAAATAATAGATTATTAGCTCATGAAAGCCCTTGGCATTTTATGTCACAGTAAATAGCAAGCTTAGGGTACAGAACCGTGCCTAAAAACTTGTCAAAAAAAATGTGATATCAGAACTGGATGACCCAGTTTATTAGGCATAAATGACTTTATACTAAGCTCAATGCTTATTTATAAGTAAAAACAAATAAATCACAGATACAACTTATCATAACATTAATTGGTTCATGTATTTATTTTCCCTAAGAATTGCATCTGAACATCATAGGATATCAGTTAATGTTTCAGAAAATTCTGAGCTGTTTTACATCCTTACATATCCTCATAAATGAGCGACCTGGAGTGCTGACTATTACCAGATGTCTTTTGGGATCACGATACGCCTCATTAACATCTAATTGGTGCGTGCCTTTGTTTTGCTGGAGTACCATTTGCAGCGTCTGTGCCATAGCTCACCCAGATCAATATCAGAGGTCATACATGTTTAGCTGATCAGCTGGTCTTTCTGATATATTTATGTGTGTGTGTGTGTGAGAGAGAGAGAGAGATATAATGCTACTATTGAATTAACATTTTAGATGACATTTTGCATTTTGTCTCCAAATAAATTTGCTGAAAATGCTTAAATGTTCTCATGCATGGTGCTGATATGTCCTACCTTACATACATATGCAGCTGTAGGGTAAAAGTTACACAAAGCGAAATGGAATTTGACAAGAAGGTCCTGGATGATATGGTAATAATATATCGTGTGAATCTCTGTTATCTAAAGACAAATTATAAACAGATGTACTCTTGTGTCTGAAATACATGAATTTAAATAAGTCTTTTTCCCTTAGTATTCAATATGTATTTTATGGTCGTCATCAACATTTGTCTGGAAGATGGCCCTGCTCATTACAGGATTGCCTTCACTGGAATCTGCTGGGGCATCTGACGACATTGGGGTCTAATTTATGATGGCATTAAGACCTGACAGATGGAAGCGCAGGCCATTATCCAGTGAGCCATGTAAACTGGTCCTTTTAGTCGAAGACTATAAAAGACCACCTGTCCTTTGATGTGATAAAAAATGTTTTCTCATCCAAAACATCCATGGCAAACCCCTGGATTAATTAAAAACTCATTTAAAGCATGAAACAAATTCAGGTTCTGTGATTTAGTTTGCCACTCAGATGACGGGTCTAATACAGTCAACAAGTTGATGGATTCTGCTCCATGTGATTGCCTGCCTTCAGCAGCACTGATAAAATACATTCCCATTGGTAGCTGAAATTCATGAAATTGTATGTTTGGAAAACAGTATTTATTCTCTTAGATGCCTTTCTTGCTGTAAGTGGCATTTCCACCGATATTGGATTCACCTGTACTGGTATTTTAAATACTCAAGTAATTAATTCTCTTTGATGCTTTTCAGAGTGTTTAAGAAAGCAAGCCCCAATGGCAAAGTAAGTTTGTTTCGATTTTTTTCTGTGCCATTGCTTACTGGCTTGCAATTTTGTCCACAGAAAAACAGATTTATATGATAACACTATAGCTTATGGTCTGCTCATTAACTATTAATAGACTGTTACCAATCAATTGATAACATATTAATAGATAGAAAGATTCATTAACAAACAAGTTTAGAAATATATTAAGATCATGTCTTGCTGCTGGTATTTACACAATAGCCTGTAAATTCCTTGTAAATATAAAACAATGGATTAGCAAGCATACTCAGAAATGAGTTAAAATTGAAAATTTAAAAGCTATTTAGTAAATATTTTGTGAGACAAGAATAAGATGTCTTAAATATAACTCTAATTTTGATTTTAAGTGAATTGTTTAATTCCTAATATATTATCAAATGATAATTTATGGAGCAGGCCTTAAACTAAAGCTGGGACTGAAATGCACACCTCTGGCACAGTGTTTCCCAATCCGGTCCTCGGGGACCAGCAGACAGTCCATGTTTTTGCTCCCTCCCAGCTTTCAGTAGGGAGCAAAAATGTGGACTCTCTGTGGGGCCCTGAGGACTGGATTGGGAAATGCTGCTCTAGGGGTATAACAGTGCAAAAAGCATCCTTTAACAGTTTGAGACTCCCTGTGATTCGTCCAGCATGTAAGCTGCAGCTTATAATAGCCCCACACTGGAATGAATGTATCTGTGCTTAACAAGGCAGCAGTCTTGGGCTGCATGGGTCATCTCAGGTCATGCTCAGGGCTCTCCTGACAAATGATCATTAATTATGCCAACAGCCAATCAGCTTTCTCTTTTTTTTCCCCCTAGCTTACTGTGTACCTTGGGAAGCGGGACTTTGTTGACCAGGTTGACCTTGTTGAACCTGTTGGTAAGTCAATGCTTCACCTTCATTTGTAGCTGTATTGATTCTACTGGAGGTCTGCTTCTGAGGAACAATATCATTCAGTTCTGATCAATACACAATTGATGTGAGTTTCATTTATATAGATAATATTACATGACATTTGTAACTTTGGACATTAAAAATTGATTCATTGCATAACACAGTTTCATTCACCACTGCTCATGGTTTTTTGATGATTGTCCAAGCAAGTTCAAAGGGCTGTTAGTTCTTTGAACCTGATTTTATATGTCCCCAGACACATAAATATTTAAACCATATCTCACTTTCAATTCTGTGCCTTCCAGATGGTGTGGTTTTGATTGACCCAGAATACCTAAAGGAAAGAAAAGGTGAAGAGATTTGAGTTTCCCAAATCCATATGTGTCAAGCCCATGTTTCAGACCTCTGCTATTGCCACGTTATTGGAATGGGCTTCTGCCATCTTCAGAGCTTTGGGTTTTCAGTCATTTGTACTGCTTTCACAAAGCTTCCAATTCTGATATATTTCTGATATGTTTGCCTACTCCTGCAATGTAGCCATACGGCCCAAAGAGCTCAAGAAAAGTGTGCTGCCTCTGTTTTCAGTGGCATTTGTTCTCTTCCAGTTTTTGTGACCCTGACATGTGCTTTCCGCTACGGCCGGGAGGACCTGGATGTCCTGGGCTTGACGTTTAGAAAAGACCTCTTTGCCGCCAACATCCAAGCCTTCCCTCCAGTGCCGGATGGGAAAAATACTTTAACCCGTCTTCAGGAGCGCCTCATGAAGAAGCTTGGGGAACACGCACACCCGTTCACTTTTGAGGTGACAAGGCTTTAATTGGTCATGGGGGATTCAGCCCATTGTGAAGAATGTGTTGGGGTGACTTTTGTGGAGCATCGATAGCTGCTGTAGTTATGCATTCCTAGTGCATATTTTTACACATATAAGCTTTTTCTGCAGATTCCTCCCAACTTACCTTGCTCAGTCACCCTTCAACCAGGACCAGAAGATACAGGAAAGGTAATGAAAACTGAACGTAATAAATCAACACATATTGCATGCTGAAAACAAATGATTAATAAAATAATCTTGGTTGTCCATTAAAACTCATTCCCTTTTGATCCTTGAAGTTGATGTAGTCACTGGCAGGAATGCCATTAGGCTGTATCGCATTCTCGTGAATATAGGCTATTTGGTAACGCTTTACATTAACTGCACCTTCATAATGCTTTTATATTGCATTCATAAAACGTTCAGTGCACCTTCATAATGTATTCATTAAGTATTGATAAAACATTCATAAACATCATGTATGAATACCATAACCTCCTAACATTCCTTAACAGCTGTAATAAACATTAATAAGAAACATTATATAATAATAACAAACATTATAATTGTATAATCATGTAATGTTTGTTATTAATGTATATTAAAGCTGTTAAGAGATGTTAAGGTGTACTTGCATGCTGCTTATGAATGTTCTATGAACGCATAATGAATGCATTATGAAGGCGAACTTAATGTAAAGTGTTACCGGCTTTTTTCATACATGGATCCATGCATGTGAATGTCTGGTGCCTAATTCACATTTAGTGCAACTAGTAACAATTACAGATATTTTAAATTCATGGGAAGAGGTGACAAGATATCGTTTTTGAAATATCAAACTAAATTCTTCAAGGCTTATAACAATATGTTATATAATAATGCAGCCTTGGTAGTAATTGGACAGAATGTAACACTGAATGATGATTATAACAATGATGGTAATGATGATGATGATGATGATAATAGGGTAATGTTGCAATATAAAATTATAACGTAGTCTATAAATTTGTTACATTTTATTATTACATAATGCAATGTTACATGGTGTGTGACGACATTATGTAATAGCATGGCATTATGTGATGAAAATTTATTACGGTTTGGCGAGTTATTACATGATGTGGCATTATTACATAATGCATTGTAACAAGGCAAATACATAGTCTTTGGAATATATGAATAAATAGAAAATCCATAAATCCTAGTTCACATTTTAAGATTTGCTGTTTTTCACATGAAGCAATGGGCTGATGGTATGAATTATTGGAATGTGTGTGGTCATTCCGCTGCTTTACCTCAGGTTTCCTGCTTTATGATGGGTGGTGCCTTTTCCTGATTTAGTCCAAAATGTTGCATATACCTGCCTCTGAGTTTCCATAAATATTTGCATTTTTTTCTCATCAAGTTTTGCTTGATAAATCGAGGATTTTGCATGTTGCTTGTGCACATTTTGGGCATCTTTTGTGTGATTAATGAGGCCCTAGGACCCTGCATGAAATGATGTGTATGTACAATATAGTGTGAATTGTTGATTTGTGTTGCGCCTGAAACAGTGAAATGTCAAACTAAGGGTAATATGATGTCACCCATAAATTATATAAGGTGCCCTTTTATTATCTTTGAAGGCCTGTGGGGTTGACTTTGAAGTAAAAGCTTTCTGTGCAGAGAACGTTGAAGAAAAAATCCACAAGAGGTAGGTGTGCCATGTATGAAACTGGCTGCCGTGAAGCTAACAAGCAACCAAAGGCAGAAATACAGAAAGTGACTATTTACGCTACAAGGGCAAGACTCAGGGGATGAAAACAGGGCTGTGGGAAGACCGAGGCAGAAGTTTGCCTTTGGTCATGTCAAAAATAACCTGTCACATGACCAGGGCTCTATCTGTAAATGATGGTGTCCTTGAGAATCCACTGCAAGTCAGATAATACCATCATAAACAGCAGTCATACTGTGACCTTTGGATAACAGTGTGTTACTCAGTTCTAATCTGGGAAAGCTGTGCATGCCACTGCATATCAACCGCATACGATGTGTCATAAGCAAATTGCTGTCTTTGGACTGACTGCTGTAAACCCCAACATCATGTTTCAGTTTTGCATTCTTCACATTAACGACCGTTATGGCATTTCCTGTACCCATTCCTGACTGGCTTTAGAAACTCCAGACCTAATACCTAGTAGAAATTCCAAATAAGTAACCCTCCAGGCATTCCTGAAACACATCATATTCGGGATTTTGTTTGCTTCCTGGAATAATTATTCCTTGGGTAGAAGGATGGGGCTAAAGTTTTATGGAAGGGGCAACAGGGCAGTTTGTAGCCAAAAACACAAATGACAGGAAGTACCCTACATGAGATGAGAGCGTAACCCATATGTATCTGCCACACAGGAACTCGGTGCGTCTTGTCATCAGGAAGGTGCAGTACGCTCCAGAGAAGCCAGGCCCTCAGCCCATGGCTGAGACAACTCGCCAGTTTCTGATGTCAGACAAGCCGCTTCACCTGGAGGCCTCACTGGACAAAGAGGTGACGGAGCGAGACAGTGAGACACACCTTCAGCTGGAGAACATGCAGGGGGTCACAAATGGAGTCATATATATATTATATTATAACTATATTTAGTGTACTACTAAATGAAGTGTTTATAGTCTTCTGGTTTCAGTCATGATTGTAAATAATCCTTCTGTTCAGAGACATCTCTTTCTTATAGTCACATTGCATTTGAATAGATTCATTGAGTGGTGGCACGGTGGTGCAGATGTTAGCTCTGTTGCCTCACACTTCTGGGACCAGGGTTTACGTTTCCACCGTGGCTCCATGTGTGAAGGGCTTGCATGTTCTCCCCATGTCATGGTGAGATGTCTCCATGTTGTAGGGAGGTTTCTTCTGGGTACTCTGGTTTCTCCCTGCAGTCCAAAAACATGCCGAGGTTAATTGGAGTTTCCATATTGTCCATGGGTGTGAATGGTCTGTGTACCCTGTGATGGGTTGGTGCCCCATGCTGCCTTGCGCCAGTAGACTCTGGGATGGGCTCCAACCCCCTTGTAACCCTGAATAGGATAAGTGGTTACAAAAGATGGATGGAGTTAGCTTCTAGCCACATTATAATTGGTTCTCTTCCTTCAGATTTACTACCACGGAGAGCCAATCAACGTGAATGTTCACGTGACCAACAACACGAATAAGACTGTGAAGAAGATGAAGATCTCAGGTTACCGACAGGCTCGACTTGACGTGTGACTCTGGGTGGTGATGGGTGATGCTCTGCGGAAAGCTGATGTTCTGTGTCTGTCCACACAGTGCGTCAGTATGCTGACATATGCCTGTTTAACACTGCGCAGTACAAGTGCCCCGTGGCAACAGAAGAATCAGAGTAAGACGTCTCCCGCTAAATTAACCGCACTCATTCTTTGGTGTTTGTGATACATAACATTTTCAACAAACCAATCAATTCTGTACAGCGCTGTATTCAATTAGAATTACTGAATTAGGATTTAGGGGTAATTTATTTGATATTTGACTTTTTATTGGAATAGTTTGAAATATGACCTTTTTTAAAAATCCATGCAGCCTTTAATTAGAGAAGGGGATGAAAAACAATTAAATCAAATTAGTTAAAATGTCTAAGGCTTTAAGAACAGATCTTATGGGTCATTTCTTCAAGATCTGGTAGACATACTTTCCTTTCTGCCCACAGTGACATGGTTGCTCCCAGCTCCACGTTTTGCAAGGTGTTCACTCTCACACCCTTCTTAGTCAACAACCGAGAGAAACGCGGCTTGGCCCTAGATGGGAAACTGAAGCACGAGGACACAAATTTAGCCTCCAGCACCCTGTAAGCGAACCCGTCTCTGAGTGAAGCCAGCCCGTGGAGCGGCAGAGCAGTGAAACCTTACCATGTGGCTCTTCCGCAGGCTGAGAGAAGGGGCTAACAAAGAAATCCTGGGGATCATTGTGTCCTACAAAGTCAAAGTGAAGCTGGTTATTTCCCGGGGAGGGTGAGTGTTTCCCATCTCCCTCCCTGGGGTGAATGAAATGTTCTCCTGCATTTCGAAATCTGCATCAATCTGTGTCATTTTCTGCTGTTTCAGGCTCCTGGGAGACCTCGCATCTAGGTAATCTTTGTTTTGCGTACTGCTGATTATCTTTAGATTAATTCAGTTTTCTGTGGTGTGTTATTTATTGTATACATCTTGATGCAGACGTGGTGCTAAGCCCACAGTTGTACAGTTGTGGTTTTGTAGGCTGAGTAACATATTTTTCTTTGTGTTTCCCTCTCAGCGACCTGGCGATTGAACTTCCGTTCACATTAATGCATCCCAAACCTGTTGAAGGCTCTTCCTACCGAGATGGTATGCTTGGTACTTCAAAACAAAATCTTACCCCTCTGTTATGGCTCATGACTGTCACCCTCTACAACAGGGCTGATCAAATCACAGTCCTCAAGGGCCAAACACTGCTGATTTTCCCACCTTCCTTTATCTGTGAGCCAGGTGTGAAGCCTCCATCACCAGTAATTATTAAACTAACTACCTGGGAGAACTGAAAAGAAGGCCTGAATTTGGAGACAAGGGCCAGATTTCAAGAGTCCTGCTCTTGAACAATCCCGCCAGAGAATTTTTGTCCACATCCATGGCTGAAAGTTGTCGAGATCTATAAACTCATTTAGCTCAACACTGTTGCCTCCTGTTTGCTTTACCATGAACTCATGGTTTGCTGCCTGTGTTTTTTTGCCTCAGCTACAGACAAGGACGCACCAGTAGACACCAATCTGATTGAATTTGACACAAAGTAAGCCGACCGCTGTTCCATCATCTCTTGCTTTCTTCATACACCGTCTCCAAAGCTGATGTCCAGCCCGCTTGTTCACTACTGTTCACTCGTACCTCATGTAAATTTCAGATGATAATCATAACTTATGTCACGCATAAAAATGCTGGCTTAAAACTCACTTGATATGGTTCTGTGGTTTTAAAAAAAATGTATTATCATTTAGCTATATGTCAACGTTATGGTCAGAAGTGGTAGAAATCTGACTGAATATATGTCCTTTTGGTTGCATGCTGGGGATTATTAACTGTAGGTCAGAAGCCAGTCACTCAAACTCATGTTTCCTATAGTGACGACGACATCGTCTTTGAAGACTTTGCGCGACAGCGCCTCATAGGAGCAAAGGAAGAGAAGGATGAGGACGAGGATGGGGCCGACTCGCCGAAGCTGAGTGACAGATAGGCACCGGGTTGTAGGTGTGAATCTTCATTGAGCGGAGGCCTGCGGGTTTAGCCTGGAAGACTCTGTAACAGTCTTGTGCCTGTGCTGTCGTCTTGTTATTCTTCACTTTAGTCTTTTTCCATTTCCACGGGAATGCAGAGTTAAGAGCCCAGCTGAGTCTGTGCACAAGGCTGAAAGTGGTGGTGTTAGATGGGGTTAGGTCACCCAGCTGGCTCTGCTTGAGAAGCGGGTGATGGAGGCAGAGAAAACTTGCCCTGTGACAGCTTCGGATCCTTTGATAGATCGATGGATTAAAGTTGTTCCTTCTAGGATGAAACATTAACTAAAATCGCACCCTAAGAGTATAATTACCTATGAGACTGTGAAAATGTCCCAGAATAAGTACAAAAAACGGAACTTTCTTCCACTTGCTGTCGCTAGTGATTTATGACACTATAGCATTTCACCAAACTTAACAGTGAGTAGTTTGTGGAATTTTTTTTAAAGTTTGGGTGGATTAACTTAGACGCGTTAGCAACGTACCCTCAGAACAATGGCCTTAAATCATCACTCATTCGTAAATTATGGTTCCAGTTTTTATAGGATACTTTCAGCTAATATCATATTAATCTATTTATACCTATGGATATTGGTTACTAAATTCAAATGGGCAGTGAACCTTTATCTGTTTGAAAGAATATTTTTTAAATTAAAAAATATATATAATTTTGTAGCAGTCAGTGTTTACAGTTTATTGCCCATGTACATACTGTATGCTGGTTTTGATGACACGCATGTTCCACTGTCTTTTTCGCACAAGATCTCAGGTGGGTCTGTTTGTAGGAATTAAAGACCCCAGGATGTTTCGACTGTGGGGCGAATGGGGAGGCACTGCATTGATAGATTTGATAGTGAGTACACGAAACCTCAAGAAGAGTGGATTTAAATGTCCCTATTTTGCATGACACGTGTCAATAATGCTCTCAGCATGCACGACCGGCGAAATGCCCAAGGGAACACCGGCATGATGCTCATGGCGTGTGACCAGCTCGTCAAAAACACGAGTAGAACCATGACACTGGCTGGAACATCCGCATGTCTCACGTATGTTTAATTTATTTTCCGTTACTGAATTCGCTGTTAAATGGTACGTAATGTGGTTTGTATAGCTGTATAAGACGCCTGCCCACCCTGTTTCCTGACATCGCAGATGTAACAGATTAGCTGTTCAACTTCCTACTGAATTTTAAGAACCCGGTGAACTGTTTGAACCAGAGACAGAAAAAGCCATAATGCCCGTATTGCTGCTGCCTTGGCAGGTGTTGCTTTCCATATAGTGCAGGAAAATTATTAAATTGTACAGGCGATTTGAACAAATGACCAATGGCATTTGTCACATTCACCTTTATGGTGGAATTCATGTTGACATCATTTCTATATGGTAATTATACTTGACACAATTTCCTTTTCTCTTCTCTTACCCGGCCCTGTTGAGCAAATCAAATTAATCTTTTACTGAAATAATGTTGATCGTACCATTTAAGTCAGACCCACTGTGAAACTATTTTACAGCTAATCATTACCTCTTTACTATACATTTGGTTTGTTTTGAAACTAAAACAGCTCACTTATGAATATTTAACAGTAATTTAAATGTTTTCACGGAAGGCTTCACCATTCAAGAATAAAATGATTATATGTGTGTGCTTATTAACATGAAATTTAATGTGAAGCACACTTGATTACCCTGGATACTATTTTCATCTCTTTTATCTGACTAATTCTAGTGAATGATGTTAAAGTATAGAATTTCTGCTGAATATGCTGGTACTGACTTAGCTATGTCTGAAGAAGAAATATTATAGCATCTGTGCCGTAATTCTGAAGTAATCTGTATATTTAAGTTTTATTCTTAATTACTTGATATGCCAGATTTACGCAAAATGTCTCACTCAAATCGGCAAGAAAACATATAATGTGTTGAGACTGACAAAACTGAATGTTTTTATGTTGTGCATCCAAATATTAAAGACTTTTAGGGATGTTTCTGTAGAGCTTCCGGTCAAGAGGGAGGCAGTCGTTAGTACACAACCAGGGAACCCCGGCGAGAATTCCTGTCTCTGTCCACCACAGTAATTAAAAGTTTAGTCGATATAGTGAATCAATATCAATTTGTCCGTGCTGCTTTTTCATTTTATAATCACTGGATGAAGAATTCAGGTTAAAGGGTGCCGGAAGAATTGTTTTTCAGCGTTAGCTAAATATTTAGAGGGTCTTTGTCTTTCATGTTCGACGTCTCACCTGGAAATGAGGCATGAGACCTTAGGCTGGATGCAAAGCCTGCAACAGATTTCACACCCAATCTGAAGTGAGGGAGCCCAAGGCGCCCTCTAGTGGTGATCTCAACGCTGCTGTCCTCATAAGGACCACATTATATAACTACAATCTCTGGAAAAATAACTTCCGTTAGTCCTGAACCTGGACACATTATCCAATTTGACACCCTTTGGGGAAATAATTGAATCCAAATGATGGTGCAGAAGTCTGAGCACAATGTGAGGCAAGGAAAGTCAAGTGTGACCCAAAATTGGATTCTTGTGTGTAAAACTTGCCTCTCATTAACACCCCCTCCCCCCACCTTACATTCTGGATATGTTGTATTTTGTGGCAAAAATCTCCTATTTGTTCCTATGATTTCTGTATTTGTTGATGTAAAATGTTTAAAACAAAAACTTCTTTGTGCTTTGGTGAAGCATGTAATAAAGCGATCTGGTTTCTGTGTGTATCTGCTCCACGCTGCTGCTTTGTGTAGGTCACGTGTCATTCCTGTAGGACTGTAAGCTGGTTCAGAAAATAATGACATGAGTTACAAACGGAATTAGCAAAACATAAAAAAATACACGACACAAAAACAACACACGATAACTCCCCTGCTTACCATTAGTTAAAAAGCACCTATGACTGTTACATGCCCAGATTCACAAATGTGAAGGCAGTCATTAAGGTGAGCATTTAAAACGGCAGCTTATAATGACCACACTTATTTGCTCGGATCAGGGTTCCCTTAGTGGCCAATTACGTTTGGCCATTAATATTGAAAGCTTGAGGCCTCATTGCAGCTGGACTGATTAAGAACCTTGTTGTTGATGTTTATTTGTATCTTGTGGGACCTGAAAGCCCTCACAGGTCATTTATTTGTACTCTCCAGCACCTCTCCGCTCATTAGGTGTTAACGAGGGCTTCAGAGCAGGTCTTACTATCAGCCACGGGATCTCCATCTTCTCTGTGTCAACAGTAGCTTTTTGGTCATCGTGTACCTCCAACACGTTTATCGAGGTGCCGCTTTACTGGACTGCCAGTATGTTTAGTCTTTTCCCTTAGCTCTTTGTTATTAAAATGTCAGAATAAACTTTTCAGAATTCCATAACTTGATTTTTTTGCTAGTTAATGGCTACATGCATTTATGTAATATTGGCTTGGATAAAAATATCAAATGCAGTTACACTGTAATACATAGGAATAAAATTTGAGGTGAATGTGAAGTTAATGAGTTGAACACTGTGACTGTTATTCTCGCTGTTATTTTTGTGTCTGTAGGGTGCAGATTTAGCTCTGATGGTAACACTGTGGCCTCATTCCACCATAGCTTTAGGTTTGATTATTATCCTACATCTATTTGTAGTTTGCTTGTTCTTCTGCATTTCTCTCCAAAGACGTGGTTTGGGTAAATATGAGTTGTCCATAGTCTGTGTGCCTTTGAATGGACTGACATGCCGTGGAGGGCAGGCATACCAGGGCGGGCCAATCGGGAGGCTTGGCAGAATTCCTGGTGGACCGCTTAGCTATTGTTCTGGTCAACAAAATAATTTGAATGGTTTAAAGTTGCGTTGTTCTGAAACAACACACACACACACAAACGCAACAGACCACAATTGTTCTGCATAGAGAACTACATGGCACGTGCATCAGTGTGCTCCCTTGTTATTTAGAACAAATTGAGTGCAGTGTGCAGTTACGGAGGTGCTTGCTATCGCTAATCACTTTAAGTTTCTCAAACGATGGATGTTAGAAGGAGACCAGGCGGGGCTGACAAAGTCAGACTGCTTCAACAGTTCAATATGCTATTTGGTATTTATTGTCTTCTTGAGATGTCAGCAATAAAGTTATCGGGATAATAAGACTTGAACTGTGGCATCACATATCAAAGTTCCCCCAGAACGAAGACAAAATGGACTGGTCCAGGGTTACAAATAATAAAATATACAGTAAAGTTGAGTAATATTTTCCTTTGATGTTCTTTGGCTCTTTATAGGCTAATACGCTAGGAGGCACACAGTCAGCTTCACGTCCTCCATGCACACCACAGGCTACCGACACCAACTGGTTCTGAGGTTAGGATCTAATCCTCATGCAAAACAGATGACCCTCCTCCCCATAGTCTGGAAGTCAAGCAAGCCTCTCCCCTCTGCCATGTCACACAGTCGCCCTTGGTAATTGATTGCTCACACAATCAGACATCATGTCGAGCCGGTAAATAGCAGAACTGAAAAGTGTACTTAATTAATCAACTCTCTGATTTGGGACTCACATTAATTTCTGCAGCACCAGGCTCCCCTGGATTAGCACACAGGCTGAGATTATTACAACCTTAGAATGAAGCTGATTTCAGTCACTGGCCAGTCGTGAGTGCAGCATACTTATGGTGTCTTATAAATAAATAAATCCTTTATTTGCCATTTGCCCATGTACGAGTGCAGCTGAGAGGGAACGTTCCCAGAACTTTAACCAACGCCATGTAAAGGTCTTCTCGAAACTGGCAGTGAATGTTTTTACTGTAACATTATTGCTATGTTTTACATTTTAATAAAGTTTCTGTCAATGTTAGCGTTATATGAGTATTACCTGAACAACCTTTGTACCGTAATTTTGAAAAACATTGTTTTATAATATAAATATTATTATAATAGTGCTATATACAGTATGTATACTGTGAATGTGCCATCCAGCCTCGAACCCCTGACCTTAGAGGTGTAAAACTGCGGTGCAATGTCCTTTTTCTACTTTTGCATTATTATTCTTAGATGCAGAAGTAGTAGCAGGGAACTTCAGGAAAACTGGACACTTTGAACGTTTCCATACCTTAACATGCAGCAAACGTTCCTAGAATGAAAAATTGTTAGCTGGATGGCTTCAGGGACAGGGCTGTGATCCCCAAGGGCTCAGACTGACGGTTCCTTTATTTAGCATCTGTTGTTGAGGCTGATGTTGTCACTTATTGGTTTTAGTGGTTTCATCAGAACTGATTTCATTGGTCAACAACACAAAGCAGCTTGTTCTCCACCTATCAGCCACTGACCTTTCACCTCCAGTCGGTTTGCTTCTCTAAAGGCTCATTTCACCTTCCTTAATGGTTGGTTCACCTGGGTTTTCCTGCTAACACCCCAGGCTCTGACCCACCTGGGTCCCCTGATGTTGCTACCTTGTTAGCTAAGAAAGCCGCTCGAGGATGATGAGGGTAGGCACTATGATCAAAGGGGCAGTCGTGTGCATGGAGGTCCAAAATGATGCAACATTGTTTTTGAGTCAATATAAATCGTAATCTAATAATCGAACACTATCCCACATCAAAAAATAAATAAATAAATAAATAACAAATAAATCCCAGCACGACTTCCTGCCATGAAAAGACAATGTCACAATATTTAAAATTAATAACTATGACAGAGATGGTTTTAGTTAGCATTTTTTGGAGTGAGAGCCATTCGATTGTAGTGAACTAAATGGAGATTTCATACATTGTGCCCTGCAAGGCTAATTCGTCATAAAATGTATCACAGAGCACAGCAATCGAAATCGACCGCAAATATCCTTTAATATGTGCTTAATCATTGTGATTTCTTTGGTTTCTTTTCAACGATGTTCATAAATACCAGATAAAAAATTGTTCATTTTATATTAGCTTCAACCCACCTCAGGAGATCAGCGTGTAACTGGCAAGTTGCGAACTGACAAAAACAGCAATCTGTCAAGGCACTGAAGGGCTGCTGTGGGAGAGAGGGAGGGAGGGAGCGCAGTCATGCTCTGACACCCTGAAAGAGTGCGAGGCCAGACGCACATCAGAGAGACACTGACACTGCACATGCATATTATCAACAACTTAATCAGTCAGCATCATCAAAGCATTAATCAAATTTATTTCAACCAAAATTCCATCTGGCAGACTTCTTGAAAACCAAAAATGGTAATGATGAATGACTTTCTTATTGAGTTAATACATAAAATATTCACAGAGAAATATTCAATTGTCCATTTTGTCACACTGAGTGGAATGCTTTTCATCTCCTTCTTCCAAAAATACATTAACGATCAAATAACAGTCCAACAAAGATGAGAGCATGGAGACATCAGGTAAAATGTACGGAGCACCAGATCCTGAATTAAACTTTCAACGTCGTCACATTTACAGTGAAGGTTTTATTTGTCCTCATATTAAACATTTTCAAAGCTGCATTCCTTATTTCCTTGGTACGGACACCATAGATAACTGGGTTTATGGTGGCGGGGAAGATGATGTATAGGACTCCCAAGAATGTGTTCATGTCTGTTGTGATGGGGATGCCGAGATTATGCGACAGAAACGTGATGCTCCCCACCAGGTAGAAGCTCATCATGACCATCAGGTGTGTGCCGCAGGTGTGGAATGCCTTCCAGCGATCTTCCCCCACCGCTGCCCGCAGGACGACACTCAGGATCCTGACGTAAGAGAAGGCGATGATGGAGATGTCGATGCCCACAAAGCAGATGATTACCACGAGTCCTATAGCATTGTTGCTGCTCTTGTCGCCGCACGCCAAGCTGACAAGGGCCATGTGGTCACAGTAGCAGTGGCTGATGACGTTTGAGCTGCAGAACTTCAGAGGACGTGCGAGGGCGACAAGAGCGGACATTATCGAGCCGCTCCGTATCAGCGTCAAGATAACCAGTTTCACCAGCATGGAAGTGTTAATGATTTCACAGTAGTGCAGTGGATTACAAATGGCCACCAGTCGATCCAAAGCCATAGCCAGGAGGATGGTGGATTCCAGGGATGAGAAGAAGTGTGTGAAGAACATTTGAGTTAAACAGCCCTCTAAGGAAATTTCATTCCAGTCAAACAGGAAGCTGAAAAGCATGTTAGGTACAATAACAGTGGGGACGATTATATTGACAACAGCCAAGCTGCATATCAGTATGTACATGGGGCTGTGCAGGTTCTCGCACTTTCTAATCACATAGACCATCAGTGAATTGGCAGCCAGGGCCAGCACATATATTATGAAAAATGGCAAGAAGAGTAAACGTCTGTATTCGTGTAGTTCTGGAAATCCTATAAAAATGAACGTGGTGTAGGTGGAGTTGCTTTGTAGTAGATCTTCAGCCATGGCACTTTGGACTAACCTGAAATTCGAATAAAATGAAAAAACGTTAGTACAGTTTGTCACATCAATAAAAGTATTTCATTAGCTACAGACTCATACAGACCTATTTCTTTGCAGTTGAATTTGGAACATTTTTATAAGATACCAAGAAAATAAACATGGCTCAGAGTAGACAACCTCAAGATTTTTTACCCTCTTTGTTATCATTAAGGTCTTTAGGACCGAAATCCATACCTGCTGGGCTTCCGCTTTATTTTCTCTCCTGTTGTTTCCGCAGAATAACACTTTAAAATTCAATAATAAGTTAACCAGCTAGAGTGTCTGGTCCATTCTAGTCTACCCTCACTGCAAGTGTGGTGGATTTATAGGGTACATAGCAGAACAGTCATTGGTCTCCTAGGACCTTCTGTAGCTTCAATTATCTCCCCATTGATTGCTGTGGCTAAAAAACTCCCTGTACACAACTCAAAGGTGACACACAACCCTATTACTAATAGCAATGCAAATTTGTTTACTTTGTGTGATGGGTATTTGTCTCTTAAAATCAGTTTTGATGCCTTTAAAATTCAAGTTTATCTTTATTCGTATTTAATACAATGAGATGGCAAAGTGAGTGGTTTGCAAACGGTGAGAAGGTTCATCTGCAGTGCCTTTGGATCTATAATTAGCATATGTTGAGAAGTGTACTGCTTTGTGGGTAGAAGTCTCTGAATCTTGTGCTTCACATGTTAATGTTTCTGTGTCATCTGCCAGAAGGGAGCAGAGAGAAAGGCAGCTGTATAGGGTGACCTGAGGCCCTTGATGATGCTGACTGCCCTTCAGCACGTGGTGACAGTGTCCTGATGTGAGGCCACATGCGTGGTGGGGAGGGGCCTGAACAGTCTGGAGGCCACAGTGTAAATCATGGCATGAGGAAGGATTCCATCATGCATGGTGATCTGTGGACCTTCACCGGCGTTAGGACACTTTTTATTTATAAAGCACTTTAAAAACAACCGTCATTGACTTAAGTGCTGTACAGAGTAAATAAATAACAAATAAAATATACATACAGTCAGGCCTGCTACAGCACAACTAATGCATTCCTGAAAGACCTTACATTCACTGAAATCACACATTAAAATAGGATTAGGGGAATGCAACTCTGAAACATAGTAACTTACGGCAAACAAAATGAATTAAATAACAAAAAGTGATACCAGTGGCCATTAATGTAATTATATGCATTTAAAATAATAAATAATAAATATGCATTAATAAACTATAGCATATACATCTCCTATGGGCAAAATGCAGTACTACAGGTTACAGGAACGCGACTCCCAAACTTTGTACAGTAAGTTACACACAGTGACAATGAAATAAAAATCAAAACAGTGTTAACGGTAGACAATAATAAATGTTATAATTATGATAAACTAGCTGTGTGTTTTTATATTTTAATTTCTAGATTTTTGCAATCTAAGACTCTGATCTGTGCAATGTGTGGATGTACAAAAAAAAATCACATTATATTCTTTTAGATTTGCAGTCCAATTCAACTAATTCACGGAAAGGAACTGGTTCAAAAGAATGATTTGTTCATGAATCAGACATCACTATCGTTCACTTGGATAGCTGCTTTGTATGCAAGTACGCCTACTGTTTCTTACTAAGACTGTATTGCATTGCAGTTTGTGTAATGAATGCTTTTCTCACTGACTGAAAACTGTACTTATACAAATGCGATTCTGCATTGTATTGGACTTGAGTACTAATACATGAATCACGTTTAAACGGATTTGCGGTGTGTTGTACCCGGACTGACTGTACATATAAAGAGACAATCCACTCACAAACTTTTTTAAATCCCCAAAGGCTAAGGGAAAATAGGCTTTAAATTGAATTTTAAAATGGGAAACTGAAGATGCACCACTAGCGTGGGAGGACTCATCGCTGCTTCCGCAAAAGTGTGTCACCCTTTGATTTTTAACCTCAGCCCAGGAACAGTCAGGAGAAGCTGCTCAGATGACCTCAGAGATCCCGTGGTGGTGAGCGGTCAGAGTGGATCTGCTCTATAGGAAGGGGCTGAACCATTTATGGCTTATGATAGTAAAGAGCAAGTTGTGGCTTCATCGTTGCTCCGGATGTGGTGCCTTGGTGGTGTAAGGTCACCTTTGATCTTAGCACAGGGCTATTAAATTCAGGCCCTCGATTCTAAATCCAGGCCTTGTTTTCAGTTCTCCCAGGTAGTTAGTTTAATAATTACTGATTCTGATTGGTCAGAGGCTTCACACCTGGCTCACAGGTGAAGGAAGGCTGGAAAATCAGCAGGGCTCGACCCTTGAGGACCGTGAGTTGAATAGCCCTGTCTTAGCATAATCCTTTCTTTATAAAATAATCTAAACATTGTTTCTGCTCAACAGTGTTTATATAGTCAAGGAATATATATTTTGGTAAAATTTTTGTCTAATGAAAGCCCAGCTTTGTCCTGGTAGACGCGGTGATACCTGTATCGTTAACAAGGTCCCACCAGACACAGGGCTGCAAACAACACAGGACACACATGCAACACTGATGCCAGCCACCTGAGCATAATGGATTTCCATACTACAAAGGACTGAAATCATCCCTGGAGGATGGCGGGTAGGTTGTTAAGAGAGCACATATATCTCTTTCTCAAGTTAATTACTCAGGTAGATATGATTATCATTTTTGTATTATTCACTGTCCTTGAAAGAATTTAATGCATTGACAGTTTTTTGACGCAATAAAACTAATGGCACAAGAATGACGTAGTTAGGGTTACCAAATTTGTTCAGCTGGCTGGAGTGAGATTTTCATTTCGAGACAAGTCTGCACACGCATTTACATGTATGTAACAGTTTTATTACCTTGTAAATCATCTGCAAGGTTTGCAAACTACCCCAACGCTTTTGATGTAGCTAATTTTAGGTTTATAATAGAATAATATAGATTTGCCGTAAGACTTCTTACGTAAACGTGAGAGTCTGAAAGCGTGAGTGTCACGCCAGATGCGTGAGAGTTGCCAGCCCCGATGTAGCATCAGAAAACTAATGGGATTACAAGAAATTTATGAACCTATTTATATTTAAGGGATAATTTTAGGTTTTGTGGGTCATAGTTCAACACATGTAATTTGCCGCATTTCATCAGTAATTAACTCTTATCTATCTGGTTCTGATGAAATTTTGTGGTTGCAACATCCAGGGATTGGTTAGATCAAGCAAGTTAACAGCTTGGACTCCCATAGGAATGACACCTTTCACCCGGTAACCGGGGCCTGCAGCAACATGTCATCGAATCGACTTAGATAATAGCCAGGAAGCAGAGAAAAGTATTTTGGATTGCAGGACTCAGCCGTGTGTTTTACCTCTTTTTAATGCTCTTTTTAATGCAAGTCTGGGTGACCAAATAATCCATGTCAGGGAGGGCATTCTGAGCTACTTCAGGTTTTATAAACTACTTTAAAACTGAACGGCTCCTGTGCTTCGCTAAAGAGTTCAATTTTTCATGAGCTTTTACTGGTTTGTTTCCTTGATTGAAAGACCCATCCAGCTGTTTAGCATCAGTTACATTAGTGACACATACTTGATTATAGGAAACTGACCAATCAGCACACAGCAAGAACTCGGTGCTTAAGTCAAATCCAGGTCCTTTTGATTGAAATGGCAGTTTACAAATCCCGTCCCAGCTCAAAGCATCCTCCCTGGCTTGGGTTATCTGCTCACCCTAATGCCACATGTCTTGCGGCTTGGAATCCGAACCTTCCCCTCTGTCAGATACTTCACTTCACCTGCACTTACCCCGATGCTTCAGGCAGTCCTTCCATCCACTCCTTAAATCCACTTTTCTGAATTCCCCAGACACAGGCCATCTTGTTACACAAACCCGTCCACAGAAGTAAATCAGAACCTGGTTCTCCAGGCCCAAATCAGACCAACCATGTCACTTTGTCATCTGGAACATGTTGTGAAGGGGGTGTGAAAAAGACCTTAATTTTCTGTTAAAGTACCTAATTTGTACCCCAGCCCATTTCTGGCCAGTGCATGAAACAGGTCAAGTTGCATGGGTGTAAACAGAACACTGATTACCACCCTCTTTCTTGTCTGGCTGATCAAACATAAAAGGACAGGCTTGCAGTGACTTTTCTAGGGATCTGCCCAAATCCTGCTCTTTTTCCTTCGAAGGCCGAGGACTGACGCTGCACATTTTGGCGTCTGACCCCAATCCTACGCGTGTGGAGTTTATGTTTCCAAGCAGTGCTTCTTCCACATTCTCCACTTCTATCCCACTGCAAGAAGAACATCTTCCTATGGGTGAAGTTCCTGTCAGATTTTTCTCACACTCATTTTAGTGTTTTATTTAGCATATGTGTGAAAAGTGAGAAAGGGAGTTCTCAGAATAGAGCAGTACCTGTAAGAAAGACCCTTTTTGCATTTTTTTCTCATTTGGACTATGAATGACATTAAACTGAGAGTGCATGAAAATTCCTGAGAAATATGTTTACTTATTTAACAAATGCCTTTGTGGCTTACAAGTAAGGAAAGCTTGCAGAGAGCAATGTCAGCCAGCAATACAGTAATATATGTTTTTTTTTGACGTTGTGAGGACCATTTTTCATGTCCCCGCAAAGTTCTGTGAATGCAATCAAAAATGCCAAAAGTCTCATATTCTGTTTCGATACCTATGGTTAAGGTTAAGGCCATCATGTTGGGATTAGAGTTTTCTACATAGAAATGAATGGATAGTCCCCACAAAGATATAATTACAAACCTGTGTGTGTGTGTGTGTGTGTGTGTGTGTGGATTAGGTTTATATTTCTTTGTGGGGACCATTTTATTGAGCATTCTACTTCAAAGCTCTTTCACTCTGGCATGTGTTGCTGTCAGATATACAAAATGTGGTCACAAATGCACACATTGATCAGAAAAATTATATTTTAATTACCAATTACAAATGGTCGCTGACTGAGGTAATCACAAAACAAGGAGTAGTTGTATATGAATGCATGAATACATCAAATCAATTTTGGCAAACATTGTCATTCAACAGGGATAAAGAATGTGAGAATAGTACTTTGGATGGTAGGAATCAGCCAGTCCCAGACACAGTGCAGGCCCTCTGGTTAAAGAAACATGTCCACAGAAATAACTGAGAGCCCGATTCGCTAGGCCCAAATCAGACCAGCCTTTGCTCGAACGTGTCGCCACGGGTGACAAAAACATTTTAAAATTTAAAATACCTTAAAATTTAAATGGGAAATGAAACAATGAAACATGAAATGAAACACAAATGAAAGTTGGATAATATATTATAAAATATATAAGTGTTTGATATTGGAAGATAGATGTTATCTTGTAAGTCAGAGTTTAAAACATGAATGGTGTTAGATAGAACTGGTGTCTCAGCCCTTTAGTTCACAAGCCACGTGGCCTAGTCCTCCAAACAGCTGACTTCCTATCTGAGCCTCTGCTCATCTTTCATAAGTACAGGAGACTTTAGCACCTGGAAAAGTGACAGTCCCTCAGCCCACTTTATGTAGGAAGTCACAGGCCTCATTCACTGCGGTCACACTTCTAACCTGGAAGATCAAATGGGACTCCAAAGCTGTGATACTGTAGCTAATGACCATCCATCCATCCATTCATCCATCTTCTGGCTGTTTATGCTGATCAGGGCCGGGGGGAAATAATGATTGTACTCCCTCATTTTCATACTTTTCAGTGGTAAGGTGCTACACTTGCACTGGAAATTGCTGCAACGAAGGGTCTGCTTTTAGTATGCGGAAAGGTGCAAACTGGTCTGAGAACAGTTAGAAGCTCTTGATCATCCTCCTACTTAATGGATCTTGTACCCACAAAGCTATGATAAGAATTCTCTGTAGGAGATACATCTTAAGATATATAATCTATAATGAAGAATCGACTTGAAAGCCCAGCTTACAATCTACTGATCATTTCAATAATAGACCTACAGTGTCTCAGACCAGGGACTTGCTGTCCATCTGCTTTGCTGTGTCCCAATTACATCAGTGATATATGACAAACCTGCGGCATTTCTTTATTTGTGGAAGTTCCTTTGTTACTGAGCTTTTCCGCTGGAGGGACCTTTTGGCCAGTGTGGGTCACTGTCTTATGGAAAATGGCCCCTCAGAGAGGTTTCTGCTGATCTGGGACCAGAGCAGAATCAACAGGTTCAGAAAGTGATGTTGTTGTTTAGTAAACCATGGGTCATCCTTGGGTGCTCTGTGTGGCCCCTCTGTTCCTCTGGTTACGTTTGCAATCCCCCCCAAGGATTTAATTAGCAGCATGGAGTTACCTACCACTGTTGCGCTAATGACACACAGCGGCCTCTATGTCTTGCACATCTAGAGAAGTCAAGCACAACACATTCATTTATTGAACCAATTTCTTGCTTTCCACTTGGGGCCCCCAGTCTGCAATCGCAAAGTCCCAGTGTTTATAAGCCGTTATCAAGACCCTCACCAGTAAGAGCTTATTGATTGATCCATTTTAAAACAGCTCAGATGCTCTGGATATGTCAATTTAAATATGAATAGGTTCACATAGCACTTAATCGCAATATGCAGCACTTTCAAATCATATTTTACTGATGCTAGTGAAGTTGTTTGTGATTATAATCAATATATGTTTTGATGGTAAAGTTACATGACATAAATGTACAAAACAGGTTCATTCCTGAGACCTGGAACTGGAAGAGTTTGATATGTTGTTGTACAAGAGTTTATCTGATTAATGAATGTGGGATTTTGTCGGTTGAATACAAAGCTTGTTCTAAGCCGGAACTAAGGTCTGTGTCATTAACGAGGCCCCATAAACCTAGACCATCTCCCCAGGACCAATTTACAGAGTGTCCTGCTAAAAAGATCCCCAGAGCTGACTTTCTGGGATGCAAACTAATTAGGAAAGGACACTGTTCTTCTAGATTAATTACTGCAGTCAGCAAGTACCAATTAGATTCTTCATAATACCAATATAAGTATCAAATCTACGTATGTTATAGTTTACTACCCTGAAAAACATATTTAAGAAACACATTGGTTTCTTAGTCATATACATTGACTGTTGACTAATGGTCAAATTTTCAATATATATACAGTATATATATAATTGGGTGACTGTAATAAAACCTCAAAATATATACATTTACAAATATGAATGCTTTATTTAGTTATTTTCAACATTGGATTGGATTTCATATCGTCAGGATACTCTTTCATGTTTAATATGATGTGTTTTGTTCAAACAAAAATATGACATATCTTTTTGTTTTTCTTCATAGTCAGAACTGCCAATTTGCATTTTTAGTAATAATTTTAAATCAGACTTATTTAGTTGTCATTTGCATCACAGTGAAATTTCGTGGAGAACGGCTTTACCTAAATTCTTGATGAAAATAAATGAACAATAAACCATGAAGATGCTGTATCTCAGAATCTAGCCTCAAGAAAAAAATTAAGTGCTAACTTCTGCCTAGGGTCCGTCTTCACAATAAATAGGCTAATGTGTTTGTAATATTGCCGAAATCTCAATGCAAAGGGATTCCACCGTTGTTAGCATTTAAGTTCATTTTGCTTCCAGGTCAACTGAGAGCTTACTCGATATTTTTAAGTAAATGTGTGCACGAGCCTTGCAGACGTCGTGTGATGATACTGACTGGCTGCTGTATATTGAAAGTTGATGCCTTTTCTTTGACTTGGTACTCAACTGCAACTTGCAACTTTGGGTCATGCATACAGTGCATTACGGGGCAAGCATACAAACCGTGACGTACTATATTGCTATGTCTGAAATATCAGAATCCTCCACTCTGTTGGATACCCAATACATCATTCAGTCCTTCCTTCTGTTGCTTAAATCCACATTTATAAATTCCCTTGACAAAGTGCAGGGCCTCTGGTTACACATCCACAGAAGTAAACAAGAGCCCAGTCCTCCAGGCCCAAATCGAGGAGCTCTGTAACTCTGTGTTCTGGAAATACATCCTGAGGGGGAAGGACAAGACCTTTGGGTCCCCAGTGTGAAGGTATGTGTAAAATTGGTAAAAGATTACATGTTAAGTTTGGAACTGGGGGAAGACCTGTGGCCTTACTGGTCTGAAGTTCCAGTCCCCAGCTGTGTGTGTGCGGACACAGACCTGAGAGTATCTCCTTCTGGTTTTGGGCAGGGATTCACAGCCTTTTACTCTTATGAATGGTTACTGGAGACAGAAGGGTGTTATACAGGTACGTAGTAAAGCGTGAACCTGAATAACATGCAGAGAATATGTGGAGTTGATGGCTGTGGAATCTTATGTGGCACCCTAAGCTAACTTAACCGCCACCCCCCTGCAAAGTTCACTGGGGTGGGACGTGGGTGTTAGCTGGCAGCAGCGGTTTGCCAAGTTGCAGCCCCATCTGGAGATGATGCCCAGGGAATGACCTCATCTTGTCCTTGCCAGGATCTGCCACTAGATGGAGTGTTTGAAGGCGTTTTGCTCATGATCATGGCTGCTGAGACCATCAGTCTGGACATACTGAGCAATGGCAATTCTGGGAAACTGCAGAGCAAAGCCCTGTACTGGAAATACCACCAAACCCACCTGACCAGTAAATGTGTTGTTTACGTTCCTTTATCTATGAAGTTAAATTAACAACCTGTGTGTCACAGTAGAGGGGGGGGGGGGCACACCATGGAAGACTCTGACCACCCTATCATTTAAACCTCATTTAAATCACTGCTTCATGGTACTGTGCATAGTACATGCCCTGCGATGAACCGGCCTCCCATTCGGAGTCCCCATGCTGCATAAGTCAGCCTACAGGTCCCACTGCACCCTTAGCAGGATAAGTGACACAAGAAAAGGTCCCCAGAGAGAAAATATTTTACTACATTTGTGTTACTTTGGACAAAAATCCGTCAGGGGACAAAAGTTTATGATACAATATACATTTCATTTTCTAATGAATAATGCTAAAATTCTGACAGAGATCAGTTTCAGTTTCATCACAATTCAGTATAATCTTTAATGTCTTATGGTGTTATATTAATATTACATACATGATAACATACATGTAATTACAACCATTAGGAAATAGTATTTTCCTAAAGCAGGACTCCCCAAATCCAGTCCTGGTGGACCAGCCTGCAACACAATTTCCAGATTTCCCTGCTCAAACGCACTTTATTCATCCTACAAGCTAATTTCCAGGTTTAGTAAATGCATTTACTGGGGGTAGCGTGTGGCTCCGTGGGCTAAATCCTTGAGCAAGGCTCTTAACCCCCAGCAACCTTGGTACCCCAACAGGTGGCTGCCCTTCACAGACATCTTACTCTACAAAGAGCAAGTTGAGGGAGGTGTGAAGACAATTTCCCCATGGGGATCAGTAAAGTATCAATTATATTATTATTATTATTTGAGCAGGGAAATTTGCAAACTGTGTTGCAGAATGGCCTCCAGGAGCCCTGTCCCAGACGATTCAATAGCCCTTAAATTAAAAGCACGTTAAATTTAATGTTTTTCACTTTGTTTTTTTGTTTACGTAATACTTTTCATTTTTAAGATATTAATATATCGATCATTTTCCCTGCATTTTCGTTCAGTGTCATGAGACGACTTTTCCGCAGTTCAGAGTTTTCATTACTTGTTGTCTAATTTCCTTTGTTCTGACCCCATAAATTATTGGATTGAAACAACTGGGGAAAAGTACATACATCATACTGATTACAGAATGGCTGTTCGATGACATGTTGTAATTTATCCTGTAGGAAAGAAAAGCAGTTAAGGCTAAAATTAAAGTTACAAATATGACAATAATATGAGTTACGCAGGTGTTGAGAGCTTTTCGGCTGGACTTCCCCGACTTAAACACAGAGAAAAATATTTTAACATAAGATGCAGCGATTAACAGGAAATCAGCCATCGGGACACAGAAAACAGTCGTTAGCCCTACAATATTATTCATGCGTATGGTCCCACAGGCCAGCGTGACCAAAGCCATGTGCTCACAGAAACAGTGGTCGATCTCATGCTGGCAGAAGGACAGAGAGCCAGCCAGGCAGACTACTGTTAAAACTAAAACAGCATTTCTCAGCACGGGAATAATTATGAACTTAAGGAAAGCAGAGAAAGCCATGTAGTCATTGTAGTGCAGAGGAGTACAGATTGCATAGTAACGGTCCACAGCCATCCACAGCAAAACTGTTGACTGAAAGCCACCAAAAAAATGCATAAAGAACATCTGTACCAGACAACCCAGTAGAGAGATGTGTCTCAGATTGTACAGTAAGCTGACTAGCAGTTTTGGAACGAAGAAAATTGGTATAGAGAGATCCACAAAGGCCATTGCACATATTAGGAGGCACATGGGGGAGTGCAGGGACCTCTGTGACAGAATTATAAACATCAGAAATAAGTTTGCAGAAACTGCAATTAAGAATATGAGTAGAAAAGGGATGAAGAGCAGTTGTCGCCACTCCTGAGGTCCAGAGAAACCAACTAAGATGAAGTCTGTGTAGGTGGTGTTTCTGTCTGGGTTTTCCTGCATTTTGACGGAAGGTCTGGAACCTTCAGAGCCACCTGGAAAGAACAAAACAAAGGTTCTGTTTTGGATACTAAGGTTGAAGGCACTACATGACATATAACTTACAATGTGTGCATAAACATGATAATTGTTTAATTTCTATTATATTTGTTATCACACAGAGAGAAAAGATTAATATACTTGAGGTAAACATTAAGCTGCATTTTTCCTTTGCTACAATACCCAGTAAAGCACAAAGTTTTTATTTATTTTTTAACATTACGAAATTGCAATAGAAAATTTCACTGTATAATGCTTTAAATTAGGCTACATTTTCCTGAATCTTTCTTATGCAGTTAGATTTTTGTATGAGACATTTTGCAACATTTATAATTATTCACTATAATTATAAATTATTATCTTAATTATAAGATAAGAGTGAAGAAATGAGTAAAAGTACTTTATATTTGTGATGTAATCGCTTGTAGAAGCTGCCAGAGAATCCAGGCTGGGTCAGTGGCTGGTAGAACGTTCCTCTGCTTCTGACGCTCAGTACTTCACCTGCTCCTGTCCCCGGCTCCTTAAATCCACTGCTCCATATTCCCCTGATGAGATGCAGGCTCTCTGATTAAAGATATACTTTCACTGACGTAAACTCAGAGTAATTCTCAAGGCCCACAGCAGGCCAAAGATGCGATTCTGGACGGTGGCGGATATTCTGCAGGGAGAGAGGAAGCCCGGTTATTGGACCTCAGGGTGTGGGTGCCCTTCAATCACACATTAAACAATTCTGACACTCAGTTGTTTCCCAAACTGCAATCTTCCACAGAATCGTCTGAAGTTAAACAAAGTTTTTGAAATTGTGTTATTTCAAACCTATACCTGGTTATCAGATGCTGTTATCCAAAGCAACATGCAGTTGCAGGGTGTCACAACTACGACTCAGAGATTTCAGAAAAAGCCACTCTTATTGGCTCTCTCATAAGCTGAAACGGAACACCCCAACCTGGGCCATGCATCCATAATGCCAGGATTTATTCCCACTGCCCCATGAGACCTTAAGACAGCTCACTTCTGGAAACAGGTAACCAATGGAACTTGGGGCTTCTGGCCGGAAGGACAGCTCCAGAATGTGGTGCACGAAAGGCAGAATCACACCAGAGGACTAGTTGGGTTATTTTTAAAATACAGTTGTGGGTAAATAATTGGCTTCTAATGCTGAGTAATACTGAATCGCTAGGCACCCAAAGTCAGAGGCAGACGTACACGGAAAACAGGGCAACCAGCTGACCCGCATCTGGCGTGACTCTCACGCTTTCAGAGTCTCACGTTTACATAAGAAGTCTTACGGCAAATTTATAGTATTCCTTTATACACACAAAATTAGCTACATCAGAAGCTTTGGAGTAGTTTGCAAACCGTACAGACTATCAACAAGGCAATAAAACTGTTACATACATGTAAATGCGTGTGCAAACGTGTTTAGAATTGAAAATCTTATTCCAGCCAGCTGACCAAAGTTGACATCTTTGGGAAAGGAGAGTCTATGTGACATCAATGTCTTTAACTGTGATTTTAAAATGTTGAACATTTGAAAATGATCCACATGAAAAATCCTGGTTTATTTCTTTGGGTTTTAAAATATTGGGCTAGTTTCAGCATCCGTTTGGGCGGATTTTAAGCAGAGATATTTTCTGGACCTGGCAACACTGATGCAAGGATGAGTGTGCTTCTGATATAACCTGTACTTCCACACCCAAACAGGTAAGTTGACTAAAAAACAGGACCCTGGCACTAGACAAATAATAATAATACCTTACAGTTAACATTAATTCTTAATGGCAGTAAGTAGCGACTTTAGATTTGGTCGGCATGGGATATGAGTTTTAACTAGCCGTGGCAGTTAGAATGGCAGGCGCTAATGTAAAGGATGCAGCTTGTAAAATTAAAAGATAATCTGGTACCTTTTGTGTTAGACCTATAATTAGTTAGGGAGTGAACGATTCATATGCAGAATGCTAACCGCTAGCTCAAAGTGGGATGAGGGTACATGCGAATAAACTAATGTGTTTACTTTGCTGTACAAATCAAACAGTACTGCAAGTCACTATTTAGATTAATCAAAACCAGCTGTTAAAATTAGAATACAATAGAAAAGTAAATAGATTATTCATCTCTGTGAGGAAATCTGGTAGCTGTTGAGTATCCCATCTTA